TTCGTATTTCGTCAAATGATTCGGCCCGAATTAGTTAGAACTCGATCGATTGCTCGGAATGGTCGTCAATGGGTCCCTTCTCTTTGCTCGTCTATCCTACAGCCACACGCACTGCGTGTGTTAACCCTGTCGAGGAGTCGAGTGGATTCCCCTAAGCATGATTTTCGCTCGGTAAAAGGGGTTGCCTCCCCATTTTTTAAATCGCTGAATGTTAGCATTTAAAAAATGTGGGAATCCTCTTCTTTTGCCGTCTACCAGCCTGGTGTAGCCATATCCTGCATTGCGGGAAACTTCGTGTTCCGGGCGAAGCACCTGAAATCATTCTTAGCGGGTCCAGGTTCGATACGAGATAGGATAATTATGCGCGAAAAAGAGCTGGTGAACTTTATTTTCCTCTATTCCGTCAATCGTTTCGTCTTCTTTCCGGTTCGGGCCTAATCTTTGCTCGTTGTATCGTTGCACTCCCGACCTGTTGGCTCAAAGTTAAGTCTCGTAAATGAAATGAGATTTTCGCTCGTACCGAAACCGGGAGTGTCGGACAAAGTATATATATATATTAAATATATACATCGCGCGATCAAATTTTTAATCCGAATACCGAAGTAGTGCGGGAGTGCCGTTTAGTATCGCGCGTAAAATAACGAAAATAGCGATATAAAAATATCGCTCGTGAGTGCGGGAGTGCCGTTGAAAGTATCGCGCGTCAACAACATGAGAGGAGGAGGAGGCCTGGGAGAAGCATCTTGCATCGGCGGAGCAACCTGATGGTGAATATTTATTATTTGTATATCAATTGTTATAAATCGTACGCATAATAATTTGATCTTATTATTTAAATGAATTAAAGAGAAAATTAGAGAGAAAGATTTTTATAAAAGTTATATAAAACTTTTTAAAAAACTTTCTTAAAAAACAGTTTTAAAATTTTATTAAAATTTTCCACACGTATTTATCTCTGCTTATTATTTTATACATCGGATATAAAATTCCGCGCGATAAAAATTTTTCGAAATATTGATTGCATTTTGTGAGCATTAATATAAATGAATTTTATATTTGTATGTTACAGACAACGTAGCTTCGATAAATATACTATATAACTCCGCTGTTGCGCATCAGTGTCGGTGAGTGAGAAAAACTTTCATTTAACTTTAAGGTAACGGATTCGTAGAGATTGTAGATGTAGAATGTAGATTGTAGATTGTAGATTGTAGATTGTAGATTGTAGAGTAAGTCCGTTGCCTTAAAATGGATGAGCTAGAATAGATTAAATTAAATAACTTTTAATAAATTCTTTCGAAATGCTTTGCATCTATTGCGAAAATATATTGAAGTATTAATTTAAAAAAGAGAATCAAGAAAAGAAAATTTTTTTGTAAAGACTTGACTAGTTTATTAAATCAAGAGCACGCATTAATAATTTTAACAATTTTATCAATTTTTGATACTACTTTATTCTTATAATTTATTTTATTCTAATTTCTTATATCATAGCTTATCCATTGTAGAATTTGTTTGTAGATATTGTTTTTAAATTTTACTTTAACTTAAAATAAAGCCAAACGATTAATTAAGTAAATAATTTGTAATATCATAAAAGTTATACACACACATGAATTTTATATTTTATTAGAAGATATAGTATATAGAAATTTGTTGTAATTTGGCTTTATTTGAGTTAAAATAAAGTTATATTCAAATATTTAACAAACGATCGTAAAATCGAGCGATCGTTACGATGAGCGTGAAATATTTACGCTCATTTGCCGGTAATTAATCGGCAAAAGAAGGAGTGTTTATCTCCTTTTTCGATCTCTGATCTCTGATAGAGATCGAGCGAGAAAGTGGCCAGGATCAATGAAAAGTAAGTTCAACTGGCCTGAAGAAAAGCTTTACGTACAATAGTACGTAATGTCGGTCATTTATCCACGCGGTTAGGGCATGCGGTTAGAGAATGTAATTAGAGCACGTAATTAAAGTATACGTGATTAGAGATAGGCTTTCCTCGAATAATTTCATTTAATCGAGAAATAGGATTGTTAGGGCTATTAGGTGATCATTAAGATTTTTTAATTTTCCTTTCAAAAAGTAAAGGATTGTTAGGGCTATTATGTGATTAATTTAGCTGATTTTATATTATGTATCTTTTAAAGAATCAGGAAATGTAGGTTTAAATAATATTAGGGAAAACAAATTAATAAATATTTCAATAATTATATTATTAATATTAAGAATTTTTAAGGGATCAATATTTTTTGAGTATTTTCTAAGAGAGTTTTTTTTCCCCACGTAAAAAAAAAAAGGATTGTTAATTTATTTTGTATTACATTTCAAATTATATAATATTATATTTTACATTAACTTTTTGTATTAAATTCTGTAGTGAAAGAAAATGAAAAATTTTGCCTTCTCGATGATATCTCCATCTTAAGGAAGGCATTTGCCGGCTGAGGAGGTTTGAGTATTTTAATGAGCCTGAGAGCTATGCCGGCGGTAACATACACCGATATTCGTATAGACTTTTCTTATATTTAAGATAATTTTAAGTATGATCTTAAATATAAAAGTGAGTAATGAATACCGATCGTAGTTATTGATAGCGTCATCTATGCCGGACATGTCGAAAGGGAAATGTCAGACTAAGAGAAATACCAAAATTATATAAATATTTGTTATATTAATTATATTAATATTTTTAAATAAAATGAAAGAAAAAGGGAATAATCGAGAAAAAGGCAACTACAGTGATTTGAATATCTATACCTGAGAACAAATAGAAAGTATTTCGATAGACTCCATAGGAAGGAATAAACATGACACAAATGATGATAATTTTTATAATTTTAACACAAAAGAATACAATAAACCATAATAATCCAAGAACTCGAAGAAGAGGAGATTTCTATTGGATAGAAATGCATAATGATTGAAAATAATTAGAAACTAAAAGACAGTGTGCAATCTATTTATTAATAATAATACTATTTTGTAATATTTTGTATATTAAATTTTATAATTTAGTACATTATATTATATAAAATATTAAGCATAAAAATATTATGCTGGTAAGAAAATTATAATAAAAGTATATAAATAATGTTGACTATATTAGAATAGAACATATAAATTCTTTATATTTTATATAAAGGAAGAGATATTTAAAATATTTTGCAACATCTATATTTTTCGAATATATATATATATATATATATATATATATATATATATATATTTCTAAACATAACGCAAATATTTCAGAATAAAGTTGTAGCGTCATATTATATATATACACACACATATATATATATATATATATATATGTATATATATATATATATATTATATGTGTGTGTGTGTGTTTATTTGTGTATGTGTAGAGAGAGAGAGAGAGAGAGAGAGAGAGAGAGGGAGAGAAAGAGGACCACAAAATTTATTTAAAAAATTAAAATTAAAAATTTATTTATATTTATATACATATGCGTTTTGCTATACAGCATTGATGGCATTTCGTGTACTACAGGCATTTTTTACATAGCACGGAACAGAATCAGAAATTGTGCACATATATGTTACCCTCTGAGAACTTTCGTGGACTTGGCTTTGTAGTTCATGTCCACGTTTTTTAGATTAACAGAGGGCGTATCGCTTTCAGGGATCACCTAAAAGCGGGCCATGACACCTCTTCTCTCTGTATGTATGTATATACAGGGTCTACCAAAAGTGTGGAAACCCCTAAATATCTCGGAAAATATACGTTTTACAGAAAAGTGTTTCCAACAAAAGTTGTAGGGTTTAAGAAGATCTATATACTGATTCTATCAGTTTGACCTTGGATGGCGTCGTCAAGGTCAGGTCAAGGTCACATTGACTTTTTTAAATGACACCCCCTACATTTGATTGCATATTCTTATAGCTTAATTCAAGAGCTTTCCAAAACACTATAATAATGTTCATTTTTATTAAGTACTTTGCGAGTTATGAGGGTTGAAATAATTTCTTAATTTTATATAAACCATAAAATATCTAGTAAACCATTCATTTTTCGATTATCTTACCTTCATACTTTTATGTACAAATTAATGAGAGGAATCAATTGGTGTAAAGAAAACACATAGTTGTTTCTAAGAAAAAATATGTAATTTGCAATTAACAATTCCATATTTTTTCTTAAAAACAACTGTATGTTTTCTTTACACCAATTGATTCCTTTCATTATTTTGTACATAAAAGTATGAAGGTAAGATAATCGAAAAATGAATGGTTTACTAGATATTTTATGGTTTATGTAAAATTAAGAAATTATTTCAACCCTCATAACTCGCAAAGTACTTAATAAAAATGAACATTATTATAGTGTTTTGGAAAGCTCTTGAATTAAGCTATAAGAATATGCAATCAAATGTAGGGGGTGTCATTTAAAAAAGTCAATGTGACCTTGACCTGACCTTGACGACGCCATCCAAGGTCAAACTGATAGAATCAGTATATAGATCTTCTTAAACCCTACAACTTTTGTTGGAAACACTTTTCTGTAAAACGTATATTTTCCGAGATATTTAGGGGTTTCCACACTTTTGGTAGACCCTGTATATATATATATATATATATATATATATATATATATATATATATATATATATAAACTTGGAATCCTAAGTTACATTGGATTTATTTATTTATTTTCAATATTTGTAATAACAGACTAGAGTATAATAGCTAAACAAAATATCAACTATTAAATATTCTCAATTAAATTTATTTTAATAAAATTATACTTTGCAAAAAGAGAAAATCATATTATAATTTTGAATAAGACTTATTTCTATGTCCTGCATCTTTAATATTTTATTTCAATTTAATACATTTTCTATAAGATTTTAAATTACATACATTAGGTGTTTTATGTTAGTTCTTAAAGTAAATTTATTCTGGCTAGCATGTTTTTATATGTCAACCAGTAAAACAACTTTTTAATATATACAAAAAAGAATAGATTCACAGTCTTTATAATTATAGTAATATTCTTAACAATTGCACATATTGCAAGAAGTTGAAGAGCTTTATAAGATATAAACATAAATATATATAAAAAAATACAAGATCTCATTTATCTCTTTCAATAAATTTCACTCGGAGATTTTTTCATTGGCACGATCCTAGTCCTCATTAAAATGAAGTTCAATGATGATGAATTGATCCAAAAAACCGATTTGTATAAGAATTGACAGTCTCTCTTTCGTAGAAATTTACGTGTTAGAAGCAAGAAATTTCACAAAACTAACTACATTAAATTCACTAGCGTTAATAATGGCAATTATTATCGTATCTGTTGAAATGCTTCTGAATTTTGGATTATATACTTGATATATTTCGCCACTGCTATAAAATATTACCTAAGGACACATTCTATAGTCGCATATTATAACAAAGTATATTATCATTACATCGCAATATCGATAGCGATACTAAACTAATTATGGAAAATTCGACAGTCTCTTGTAATTTTTAAATCTTATTTCTGTTCTTCTTTCAGCTGCACTTCCTATACGTTTATTTGCAAATCTGCAATTCTATCCTTCCGCATTATTTCCAACGCTATAATACCTCTTTAAATGTTAAAAACGTGATAGAGCGTAGCTAAAAACAGAACGGACCGACGCGCAATTATGTAATTCTTATCGATTGCCTATCACCTCGAAAATTTATTCCTAGCTAGGACAAACGCCGCTGCTAATGCGCTCGTAGAAAAGCAGGTACGGGCTAGCAAGCAGCACCTGCGTTAGAGACACGCTCTCGACGACGATGTCGGACGTGTACAGCCATTGATCCGTTTTATTTCCGCGTCTAAAGCAAACAAAGTGACCGGAATCCACTGGACCGCGGTGTTCGATCACCGCGCATAATCGATATTTATGTTTACCCTGTATCGTTGTCAAACTGCTATCGAGAAACTTCACCGCATCACCCTATAAATATATAAATAAATATTAATTGGATTGTGTATCTCGCCAAAAATTTAAGATAGAGATTATACTTATAAATTAACTATAATTCTTAATTTTTCAAATTATAAATTCTGCATGAAATAAAATTAATAAATTATATGTATTAATTTATAATTTGATAAATTAAAATGTCCAACTATTATAATCAATAAAATTATTTTATACTTTTCAACTTTTTAATTAACTAACTTTTTAATATTCTTATTTAATTTATTATAGATTATAAAATTCACCTGCGCGTTCCTCTTTTTCGTCTCTGTGTAAGTGTAAGGATCAAGCACCAGAAGTTCGGGAAACGTAATATGATCGTCTCTTTTAATTAACACGCCCGAGGGACTCCACGTTGTCCTCGGGATGTGCAAACATAAGCACTTGGGTAATTTTCCAAGAGTGAGGGTCTTGACAGCAGGACAGCGCAACGAGCATCCATCACATTGCACGTCACGTATCATTTCGCTATCCACAAAACGCGATAGCAACCATTCCAAAGTATGATATTGTCGTAGAATACTAAATGGCGGTAATGGTAACGATAAAGTCTCGAGTTTGTCGTAACGTACTGAAGACTACAAAGGAAAAAAATAAATTAGACTGATATTAAATCTAATACATGTTATATTGACAAATGTTTGATTCTATAATTGAAATTTGAGGTATTATGTGAAAATTATCTCCAGAAAAATTAATTACGAGAACAATTAGTTATCTTTCACTTTTGTGTTAATACCTTCCAGAAACAGCTGTTGCACTGAATTTGGCTAGTGATTAGACCCGAGAACGGATGCGTCTCTATCGAGACTGACGGAATGTTGATAAAAGGCATGGTACATAGAGATTTCCACGACCTGAAGGGACTTTTGCAATCGCCATTGCTTTGAATACTTCGCGACAGCAATTCCGAGGATCTAGCAAGGATCATACCGGGTTTACACCCGATACTTGGAGACATACTAGATATGGATGACGTTGAGGTCATCATTTGATTGTTGCAGTTCTTATCGAAACCCTTTGAAGTATCTGTACCATTTTTCACTGATGCAATGTCGTTGCAGGATGCACTTCTGAGATTCAGAACCTGAGCTTCAGGACTGTCAGTTACTTTTCTCATATTTAACTCTGTATTTGGACTTGGCGGCAGCGCGTCAGATAAAGAGCCTATCTGAAAACGCAACAATTAATGATTAGTCATCGTATAATCAAGTAAGAACTTTTTATCAATTAATTACAAAAGTCTTGGAGAGACAAAAAAACTTTTTTTCATCTTTAATTAATTTGATTATTGTCAAACAAATTATATTGTAGATTGTGTTGAATGATTTTAATCACATACTCTATTTGCAGGCTGCATTTCAGCATCTAATGCGCTAAGAACTACATGAAATAGCTCATGAACATCTTGATGACCAGGTCCAAAATTCCATAACGAACCGATGGAAGAAATGATTTCAACAGGTGTCACATCACCGTACAAGTCCTCCGCAAAACCATTAATCTCTGTAAGACGTATGCAAATCAATATAAAAGTATAGAGAGAAATAACAGTAATATATATGAGTAATTTGTCGATGTTTGATATGTGAAAGATACTTCTGAAAATTAAAGATCTTGAAGCTATCACAAAATAAAGAATAGTTTTGAGAAAACTAGAAGAGCTTGCAATAGACAATAGAGAATTTGATATATTTATATAGGAACTGAATATTATAATTTTATCATCTCAAAATCTCATACTCTTGAGGATAGACAATAGTGTATCTGCAAAGTTTCTTTTCTTCTCCTGCTCTCTTTGAAGCCAGAGAATAAACGTAGGACAAGCAGCCAGGGCTTGCAAGAGAGAATTCAGGAAACATGTATATCCAAAATTATTGATCCCGACAACTTGGCCTAGAGAAAAATAAGATCATAAGTATCAAAATGTCTCTGTTCAAAAAACTTATAATTATATAAAATGAATTACATAAGGAATATTAAGAAATTGATAAACTAAAAACTATAACAATCAAATATTAAGTAAAATAAGTAAATCTCATACAAGATCTTAGAAAGAAGAAATTTTCTATATTTCTGACAAGCAGTAAAGGATATCATTGACAATGTCTGTCCATTATTATTCTCTCTAATAGTTTTATTATTAAGAAAATAGAAAACACGAGCAACAACGAGAAACTAGAGAGACAAAGAAACGTCAAGAAACGAGTTTGACAGATGCTTCTACTCGATGGATTTGAGGGGTTAAGGTCCTGACCTTTTTTTCTGGGTTTGGGCGAGGGACCCCACAGGACAAACAGGCCGACAGCGATGGCGAAGCCCACGCCGGCAAACATCGCGATCCTCTCTACGTCCATCATACGTATTAAATATCGCTTATCCAGTCGGAAAATCTTCCAGATGGAGCGATGCTCTAACCTACGTGCATCCTTAAGTTTTCCTAATTTCCTCTTTCGTTTGTTCGATCATACTTTTCAGGACGACAAACACTCCGTCCGAGATTCTGACAGGTGTAAAAGCTCGTGTGAGCAAAATTTAACCTCGACGATAAATTTCTACGACGTTACTTCTTCCTCCCTCACGTCGCGCCACTCGACTATATATGTGAATGATCGAACGCGAGCGATTTGTAAGGTATGACAAATGTAATGTGACAAATGGAAAAAAACGAATGGTAAAAAAAAAGAAGGTGAATATTAATTAAATTCGAAAGGAGCGAACGCGCGCGTTTTTCATTAACAAATGTCACCTGTCAAGAAAGTATGCGCGGTTGCAACGGGATTGAAAAATGCATAAAACGCATTCGTATTTGCAATCCGGAAGTGAGTAGAATGTTTGTTTTTCTCTCTCGCAATCAGCTGTATTATATTTCTCTCTCTCTCTTTCTTTCTCTCTCTTTTTCTTATAAATATAAATAACTAAATAGTTATTCAATTTTAAATTCATGTACCATTCGAATCCAGCAAGCACCAAATAATAATTATATAACTATTAGTCATAATTTCTCACTCAACAATATAACTGTTACATGTTATATAACAATTACATAACATGTCACAGTTATATTGTTGAGTGGGAAATTACAACTAACCAATATATAAATGTTACTTGGTGTATTTGCTGGGAATATAAATTTTACATAATATTTCAAATTTCAATATACTTATTTAAAAAAAAAGTCAAAAATACCATCTTAGTCTTCGTTTTTTATAGCTTTGTGTTGCAACTTAAATTATTAATTATAAATATATACTAATATAATAAATATTTCACTCATTTTGTTCGGTAATTACAACAGTTTGCAACATGAAATTTGAAGATATTTTTGCAATTTTTCCTCACTAATTGCCCTTTTCGAAAATTATCGCCATAAATTCTGACTTTTGCTATTAATCTCGTGCGTTTTTGACTGAGAGAAGATCAATGATATGTTAATTTTTTTGCTCCAAAAAACTTGCTTCTATTCGATATATACTTCCAATCATAAAACTCAAATTATTACATCTTTTTAAATATGCCTAAAATTGTATACAAATAAATTTGATTCTTGTAGAAAAATTGCACATATAAATTTAGATTGTATTTAAAAAGATGTTTATAAAAAATAATTTATATATAATTTTTTAATCTTTTTTTTTCTTTAAAAAGAACCTATGTTCTGAGCAATTGCAGTGTAAATTTGTACGTATAAATTATGATATGATCTAATAATTTTTTTTCTAATAGCGTGTACTATATCAAATATACGACATTATATGTGCTCTTAAACGTGGCGATCGTAGCATCAGTAATTGTGTCAGATTCTTGTGTATCACAGATTCGAGTTCGAATACAGCTAAATTCCGCTTCCTTTTTCGCTCCTTATTATAATTCGATCGCCACGTTTCTTTCCATGTTTCTGTTCTAAATATTGACAACGAGTCATTAAAACGTATAATATATAAGTATATAATAAAATATATATATGTAATATATAATATATAAACATAGAATATTCACAGATCTTTTATTTCGGCCTTATAGCCGAAAACTGTCGGTACTTATGTTAGTACCATGAAAACTTTGGAAGTATGTGATGTGATATCAGTACTTTCAAACATTAAAAATTATTTTAACGGTTGATAAATATCCGTATGGGTATTAAATATTTTTTATGTAAAATAGACTAATATTTTTTAATTATTATTATTTTTAATTACTTTTAATTATATTTATTATTATTTTTATTATTATTATATTTTATTATTATATTTTATTATTTTATTATTATTATATTTATTATTATTATTTATTATTATTATTATTATATTTATAATTATTATATTTATATTTATATTATTATATTTAATTGTTATTTTTTAATTATTATATTTTTAATTAATAGACTAAGATTTAGAATATCTCATTTAATTTTTCAGTTAAATCTAAAATTATTTTAACATACATATTTTATTTTGCATTTAAATCTAAAATGATTTTAATACATTTAACACATTAAACATGATAATATTTTTTAGTTATATTCTTATATAATCGAATGATAGATGTTAAAAATATTATGATCTGTGTTTCAAATTATCTTTTTAAAACTATTTTGTTAAAACTATTGAACTTGTTCCTTGTCCTAAGAGATTAATCATTTAATTTCTTTTTTTTTCAAATTGCAAAATGCGAACGAATTGTTGCAACTACTGATCAAAATGAATAAATTTGTCATAATCGTGCAACATTTATAATTTAAAGTCACAGTCCAGCAGAAAGTTGCAAAAAATAAAGCACAAAACAGTACTTTCAAATTTTTTCTTTGCAAATATTTATAAATATTTTTTTTAAATAAATATATAATATTAGATAATGAAACATGTTTTTGTATATGTGATTTGTTTTTTAAATCAAAATTACATATAATATAATAAGAGAACCAAATAGAACACATAGAAAAAATTAACAAGAAATTTTATTTTTGTTTATTTAGCCGGATTTAAACCTGGAATAGTGTTTCATTTAGTTGTATCCTTATTATTAGATGTGATCTGAAATGATACAAAATGACATATGGTTTGAAAATCTGTCCGTTCGCTGGCGGCCTCTTCAGAAATACCGGTGAAATACTGTATTTAAAATAAGCACAGTGCGATCGCGCACGGATTTGCGGACGTAAATTCGAAAAATAGAATTCTATAAAAGAAAGTAAAAGAAGAGACAGAAAAAAAATAGAGAACATATGATACATACAGCTATATTTGCAAAAATAGAAAGGTATACATGTAACTATTTACAAAATATTGAGGTCAATAATGCTAGTTGTATAAAAAAATAATATGAAAAATTATAGATTACATAACCTTCTTGTGTATCACATTTATTGTATTTTATATTTTTATCTTTTTTATATTTTATTTATATTTAATATCTTTAACTTGTCGAGTATTATTATTACTTTTGCTATTATTGTTGCAATCGAAATCGTTTTACTTAATATAAAAAAATATATTAAATGACAAAAAAATATAACAAAAACATTAGTAAGTGATATAACGAAAATAAAAGTTTACGTGTGTAACTTTTTAAAAATATTACTTTTGAAAGATACAAGAGAGATGAAAAATCGATAAAGATATTTGATTAATTTACTGCAATTGCACCCGAGATTGACATCATATGGTCGTATCTAATATTTGATTTACATGTGACAGGATTGTACAAATACAGAGGAAGATAACACGCGCCAAAGTGCATTGCTGACGAGTACATCCGGTCTTCAACGCCCACACATGCACATTAATACGTCGGGCACGTATCGATGATGACGAGATAGGAAGCAAGGAAGGAAGGTCACCTGCGATTTACCTGCCTCTCACAGGACGGAGAAGGAAGGACGCGCGTTTTGGGGGAGAACGAAGGAAAGAAACGACGAGGTCGACGAGGAAATTGCATCTTTCGACGATGAGTGTATTTGACGTCATTCTCTGGGGTTCTCACGAACGCGTGTGCGTTACGTAGATACGCAAATACGCACCGCGGGAATGCGAGAAATACACGTATAAGGCGACGCTCACATCGTGAGACCCAATTGCGATTATAGGATATAAGGTAGGTGAGAACAGAAACGAAGAAGGTGAGTGGAATTTTGAAAAGAATTCATTTTACTCTTTCTTCGTTTACATTTTAATATCATTTTTAGCGAGAATTATTCACCCACAAAATGCGCCTGTAAAATTCGGTAACAGGATGAGAAAGATATATGTAAAACAAATAAAATTTTTACATAAACTTCATTATTTCTGGCTAAACTCGTGGCACTCGCATTTTATGAGACACACGTGTACAACCAATATGTTGTTGAGTTGTCTCAGCGTCTTGTACTTCATTAATGAGTATCGATAAAGTGATGAAAATAGGTAGTAGAAAAGAAAGAAATAATTTCAGCGGAGACCTCTCATAAGTAAGAAATAAAAATCGCTAGAGAAAAAGAGAGGTGGACCGAAGCTCGGCTTAGTAAAAGCGGCCTAAACGGTGACTGCTATATTGTCGCTGGGAAACGAAAATAGCTGCTGTCAGCCTCGGAGGCAAATCGTGGCGGCGAGGGAGCAAGAGGGAGCAACGATGGCCGATGGAGAGCTAAGGTGGTAAGGTGTACGACAACGACAACGACGACGACGAAGAAGGTGGGACCAAGAGAAACGACGAAGGAGCATCGAACGAGGGTGTTGTGCGAGATCTGGAATGAAGAACCCGGCCAAACAGACTTATTGCGGCTTACGTAATTCCTCTTCTTCTTCTTCTTCGAGCTTCAAAGCTCGAGCCTCGAAATTCGCCCCGCTGAGCGTTATTATGGCATCATGCGAGAGAGATCGAAAACTTGACACAATAAAAATACATATAATCTCGTACATAAAACTCGATGATTCACAATAAAAATAAGCATCGAAAATATAAATAGAATTCTCGAGAGAAGTCAAAATAATGATTTGTAAAATGATATCTGTTGATTTTTGTTGGGTCTGTTGAATTATTGGAACATTTTCTTGCGATTCAGAGAGACGTTTATGAAAATAAGAGCCAAGAAAGATTTTTGAGGGAATAAATGACACATAAAAAGGTGAAAAATAATTATAAATTCGAAAACATCGATTAGGCTCTTTAGATGATAATCTATACCTTAACCAATTGTGTTGGTATGTAAAATTTATTTTATAATCCGTTTGAAAATTTTGCAAGCGCTGACGCTTTTATCCATCTATATCTACGAGATTGATAATCGAGACAATAGCAGGACACAATAACATAATTTTATTCGTATGTAATGTAATACAATGTAATTTAATCGCGTGACTTATCTCGCCAACAAAATTCACCCGCATAGTCACATTCATTGAGCCGTCATCTCTCGACAGGATTAATTATCGCAGCTTCGAGGATCTCGTCCAAATATCTTCGCTCGAATTAGATCCCGGCGTCGGCTGAATTAGCGAATATACATGCAAATTACACAACATCATAACTTGTAATTATTATCGCGACGGGACGCGAGCGACAGATGCCAAGAGACGTCTCTCGAAGAAGGAAACGCGTCAACGTTCTTCGTTCGCGACGCCTAATTAATAATATCAATTGATGACACAGCTACGAACTTCTCTCAACTTCATTTCCGGTCAGTTGCGTCCAGAAAGAGAGAGGAAAAGTAAATGAAGGGATTGATGCACGTGATGAACTTGCACTTGATGTTATGAGTGTCCTCGATGTTACATTTCTCCTTCTATGAGAGAAAAATATTGCTGCTGCTCATATCTCATATGTAATCTTTCTGTTGTTAAGCGTATTTATCTTAATAATTATAAATTGATTCTCTTTTCGCTGTCAAATTAATAACAATCTCGTTGCAAAATGTATAAAATTTAAAATAATCATTTGCTAAAAATGCAGAAAAAAATGCAATCTTGTGAGAAGTTCAATACTTTAGTTAATACAGACTTATGTGTCAGCTCTCCTTCAGTTTCCTTCACTACCCTTAATCTTTTAGAATGGAATTTTAATAAATTTTGAAAGAAATTAGTGCTGAATTCCGCTTGACACTTCTTGGAGGTAGCAAATCAAGTTGCACGAGAATATCTGTTGCCATCTCTTTTTTGAAGCATGAGAATCTCGACTACGTTCTGCAGAACCGACCCAAAATGTCTGCCACATTCAAGTCAAGAAGTGTTAAACGACATGAAATTCAATGCTAAAACTTCACAATTTGTTAAGATTCTATTGCAAAAAATTAAAGGCTGTGAGAAAGTTTGAAGGGAGAAGAAACTGATATATAAGTTTGTATTAAAGATTTGGACTTTCTCTATTTTTTTTATATTTGTAGATTTCTAGAAGTAACAACAAAAATTTATCTATTTTTTAAATTTGTTAGAATATTGTTATAAACCTTGTAGCAAATTTAAGTCTCATTACTAAATATTAATTATTGGATAAATATGATAGAATTTCGATTCTATCTCTTGTATCGAGATAATCTTTATAAAAAATGATTTTTTTGGCGTATTAGAATTTTTGTAACAAATATGATGAATTTTAACACGAATTGACGCCACTTTTTTTTTAACTTTCACTAACAATTCAGGTTTAAATTTTCTCTGTTATTTAGATTAATTAAGTGCGATATCACAGTATCTATCTCAATTAATTTTTGGCATCCAGACAATTGTTGCTGTAATTGTAAGACAATTTTTTAAGCAACTATGCAATTATCAGACCGTGAAATTCTTTCTAAAAATTCTGTTCGCATCACAGGCAGCTTTACTTTCCGATCACCGTTCTTATTCACGACCATCCCTCATCCGGTACCGTCGTCGCGTCGGTGATGCTGATGTGATCGTTCCTGGCGCGAGATACCCAAGGCATAGAACAACAGGCGCGGAACTTGGCATCGGGACTGAATACCGACGGTATATCCGAGTACAACCTATTCGCCGTCATCGGCACCGGGAGATGATTCGTCACGGATGGTGTTGCGTTTCAAGGAGTCGGGAGAAGATACTGATTTTAATATACGTTCCACGATAACAATAGCGCGGATCGTATACATTCCTGAGCGAAATTATCTCGGGCCGAGCGTGCGCTTGGCACGATTCGGATTCGCTGAGAGATGCTGCTGGTCCAGCGACGGTATTCTTGATTTTTTACAGAGAGAGATGCTTTTTTTACAGAGAGAGATGCTTTTTTTTAGATGCTTTTAGGTCGTTGGGCGAGCTTTCTCGTAGAAAGACCGACAAGAAGTTTTTTTGTTCTCTAGAGAATATTAACATAAATTCAAGTGTATTTTTATACGCAAATTTAATATTATAAATTATAAATTTTTTAACAAGAGAGATTTTTTAAATAATAGAGGGAAATATTGAATATAAAAAAATTATATTTGCATATAATTTTTTCATTATATAGAATCTGAATTATTTATTTTAGTTTGTGATCTTTAAAAAAAGAGCTAATATTTTTATTTTCTTTTAATAAGGATATTTAAGGATATTTAAGAATTAAAAAGTAAGAAAGAGAATTGGAATTTGTGTAGAGACGCGTTGATCATAGTTTGAACGTTGAATCTAGCTTCCTTTTATAGTTCTCCGAGTAAATACGAGACTCGTCTAACGACACGATACGATATGGTACAATAATTTTTAATATTTCCCCAAGTAGCTTCGCTTCACGTTTATTAAATCGAGCCGGATCATAAACTCTCGGACGCTCTCCTTTATTGGTGAGCGAGGCATTCGCTCACGCGAGAGCTAAGATCATCAAATGCGAATATAACGGAAATATACGAAACGCGTTATAAACCAGCGCATATAGAATGACTCGCGACTGACTAGCGCTTGAACCGTTAAGAGAATTAATTGTTTGAATCCGAAGTTCGTTCGTTTCAGTCTCGATTTAATTTTCGATAATCGCGGAAAATGATAATAAAAATATATTTCAGCGATAATAAAAATACCTGTTGATGCGTCGACAAATAGATGCACAATGTAAGCCGGTTGAGAGAACCCACGTAATGCAATACTGACCGACCATTGTACCTCTTGTATCGTCGCCAAATTGTTTTTCGCGGTTATAAAAGTTCCTTTTGAAGAAATCATCTCATAGTAAGTTACTCTAAGAATTCTCTTGTGAATTGCAATTTCAGTTAACGAATGAATAATTTAAGAACTTGACATGAGATCGCTGGCATACAATTAAAATAAAATATAATGAGAAAAAAAATATATATATACAATATATATAAAAGAAGACAATATATATTTATATAATATTATGTAAGTTATACACATATGCTGTACTATTATATATTTCTTTATTGTTGCATTTAAGAAATCTAAAAAATTTTATAGAGTTTTAAAATTTATATAGTTATTATAAATTTATATTGTTTATTTTAAAATAGTTTATATATTTAAAATTTTGAAATTTTTTATATGGCGTACATACAAAAAAAAGAATACCTATTCCTAGCTTTTATCGCTTTAGATTTATTTTGACGGATATTTATACGTTAGACCAGCTTTTAATATCTTCTATCCGTAATTGAGAACGGTCCAAAACTAAGTAAGCAATGCAATAAATAAAACACCGAGACTCAGATTAATGACAAATTATTTGAATCTAATTCAACGATTAATCTGTTCATCTATAGTATATAATTTTATATATCTTCTTGCTCTCTTTTGATGAATGCTAATTTTGTACAAGATGTGCAGAAGCAAAATAAAAAATAAATAAATAAATATATTTATTTATTATTTTGCTTATATTATAATTTATTATTATTTATTTATGCTTATATAAATTATTGTTTCTTTATGCTTATATAATTTATTGATTAATTTATTATTTTACTTATATAATTATATGTGTGTAATAATGTATATAATTTTTAAATTATTTATATATAAATTATATATAAATAACATATATAAATTTTAAATTATTAATAAAATAGGAAGGATTTTATATTCAGATGTTTATACATTGCGATAATTTTGCATTTAAAAATCTTATTAGAAATTTTGGTTTTTAGAGTATTACAAATATAATTCAGTATGGTTACATATAAATTACATATAGAAGTATGATTCAGATAGACGACACACTATGTAGAAAAGAATGCGACAGAAATTCATTATTGTTACGTTGTCGCTTGTGTAATATTAAATTCGTAATTGTCTCGACGATGTCGATGACGGGAGGATGATGATGATGATGACTCAAGCTTCAAGGCTCACGTCGGTGTGGCTCATGAGGCGAGGCTCGTTTCGTTTCGTGTCCGCTCTTCCATCCCGACGTTGGCCCGGTTTATCTCCACCGATCCCGAAATAATCTTAGATTCGGTCTCTCGTGCTCACACTTCTCGCGCTTCAGGTCTCCGCCGAGCGTGTGCGTGTGCGTGTGCATGCACGCGTGCTTTCGGGAGCTTCCCCTCGTCTCTTCTTCTCGACATCGTCTTCATCGCGCATACTTACGATCCCTGACTATAGAAGCGCGCGCCATTAGAACGTCGGATCCAACATCGTGGCCAACATTGGCCGACGTCATCTAGACTGATCGCTCGTAGAGTAAAGTGGTGTAAAACGTCGAACAATTACGGAAAATATCAAATCAAAAATGAAGAATAAATTAGTTTTAGATATATATGGTACATTTTTAAATTTTCTAAAAAATAATCACAAGAATTAGAGATAGTACTAAAGTAACAGAATTAATTTCATTTTTTTTATAATCTGTCGCAGAAATAATGTAGTTGCCGAGAGCAAATTGCCGGAAAAAATATGAAAAGAAATAAAAAGAAAAAAAATATTGAAATAGAAAAAAGAGAAAAAAGAGAAATACATTTTTAACATTTTTCGAATTAAATATTTTGATGATTTGGCATCAAATTAAATTTTGACAAGATCTATCTAAAATTATAATTTAAAATGTAAGCATTGTTATTTAATTACATTTAGATTTAATTCGAAAATCTTTTCTCTTTGTATAATAAATAAATAAATAATAAATCATAATAAATAAATTCATTTTATTTAATAGCATTATAAAATAATTGACGATTTCTATTTCTTTAATGTCTAAATGTGTAACAATATACCGAATAATATTATTATCATTGAAAGAATAATTATAAATATAATTGGTGCTTTATTTTAGATATTCCATATAACTGGGTAATTCTACGAGTCTCTCAGTCGTTTCCGCAATTTCGGTTTTTCATTTCATCTGTCGAGTAAATCTGTCAGGTATTTATTTAGCTTCGACCGCGAAAAAATGTATCGCGCTAATTTAACGGGTGGCCACCGTCCGAAAATCACTGAACTCGTGCCAGGTATCGTGAGGAAACTCATCGATAAATTACATTTCGCGCGTCTGTAAATTGCCGTTCGCGAGATGATTTAAGGTTTCAGTTATGCGGGTCTTTAATTATGTTTATTCATCAAGCGTGGATAATGCTATTTTTCATTACTTCGATTTCAAAGTCCATCTTTTGACAACAATTTACTTAAGAAGGATGAGAGAATGACTATGCGCTTTCATTAAAGCGTAAATCACAATTAAAATTAGAAAATAAAGAAATGTTCGCGATGTATTTTTATAACAAATTAGTATGGAAATTACAAGACAGAATGAAATTAAATAAAATATGGAAGCTCAGATCACAATTAAGACATCTTTTCTCGAAGCATTTTTTTTAAAGAATATTCAATTAATAATATTTGAACAAATCAAAGTTTTTTTGAAAATCTCGATGTTTGTTGTTGTTTCTTTTCCATGATATTAATCTCTCACTGTGAGCAATCACATAATTTTATTCATCTTGAAAAGTTTATTTTGATAAATATCCGTTAGTTTGATGCGAATCATTAATAGTGAAAATTAATTTGTTTTAGTTTAATTGTGTTATTTTTATTAAATGCTTGTAAATTAATTTAATATTATTGCTTTACGTTAAATTTTCGAGAAGAAATTTTTATTTTTAAATTTAGGATTTTTTAAAGGTTATTAATAAATGTCATGCAAGAAAATTGGCGTGCGTTTCATAATTTTTTACTATAAAAAAAAATCTAGGTAGAAAGACTCTCAAGAAAATAATTTTATGCAATGATATATTACAATTATAAATAATTGATAATAAGACGATTAATGCTTGTAAACTTATATAAATTTCAGACAATTCTTTTTTGTAAACGAGATTAATTTTTTCAGGAAATATATAACGATAATGCGCGCTTTATAACAATTTATTCGAAATAGAAGCTCATGAATTCCTGTGCTATCTTTCGCTCTCCAATTTTGCACGACTCGATATAAGTCATACGACAACAGGAAAATTAAAGGGAGGCGGAGGTGGCCTAAAGTTTTAAATGATTCAGAGGCCTCGATCTTTTCGCCTAGCCTCGCCTAACACATACGTTTGGCACACACTGGTTGTTCGCTCGTAACTATGGCTCTCTTGGCACGCTGACGTCGGTCACCCACGCCCGTGGAATAAGCGCGACCTAATGACGCGCAATCGGCCGTAATAATTTTACGTAATAATCGAGCCACGATAAACGGCACGTGAATGAAAACTCGCGGATAAAAATTAACGATTAAATTAATGCTATAAATTAATTTGTAAAAATATCTCCTTCAAATACTTTAATTAACATATATAGTTTCAATGAAATAAAGGTTTTTATTTTTAATTAATTTGTTTTCTTAAGTTTCAGAAAATAATGTTTTATTGAATTACAATTTTTTAACATCGAGCGATTTAATTATGTTTCATGTTTTACAATATGTTTTATTATTAGTTCTAATTGATCATTATAAGTTGACGGAAAAGACGAGTTTCTCAATCGACCCTATGACACATACCATATGATACATCGGCCAAAGAATCATCGTCCTCTGCGCATCTCTTTCTTCCTGTCATTAACGAGGACTGGAAAAGATCCAATTTCTCCGCGAGAAAACTGCATTGCTATCTATTGTATTACGCGGAACTGTTGAAATCGTATGAATAAGAGAAATTTTTCAGCTTAGGATTGGTAAAATGCTAGGAACACTAGAATCATGTTAGGTAATGTAAAATGTATACATTTTGTATTTCATAAGATGTTTTAAAATTAAAGCAAAAAATAAGATTAAAATTTTAAAATTGGAGAATTTGTTTTAAAAGAACAAAATTATGAATATAATTTTTTTTTCATAAAAAGAAAAAAAGAAACATTTTTAATGGCACAAAAATAGGATTGTTTATATAAATATTAAAATATTATATGCATATATAGAATAATATTTTATGTTGATGTTGATGAAAAAATTTTATTTTGTCTATATCTTTAATAGCATGCTTTCTAAAAAATACTTCAATCGTATTATTACACATTTTCCGATTTTATAATTTTTGTAGACGTTAAAATATTATATTTTATGTGATGTCAATGTCAAAATTCCATTTGAACCGCTAATATTTGCTTCCCACATATAAGCGCCTTCCAATTGGCGTCTATTTCGATGCACTTGGGGTTCAACGACGAATGTATTATGGCGATCGGGAGGATGACGACATGGATTTCGTTTTACAGCTCTGTTCGGCAAATGTAAATATTATTTCTACGGCGATTTCTCGCGAAAGATCCGCGTGCCGCGCCTTCGTCTGGCCATAGCTCGTCTGCAACCACTGGGCGTTTTTACTATAGCACATTCGGAGGATCTCCCTTGCCGGGGAAGGTACGCCGTTTGATCTGTTCGATTACGTGTAAATAAAGACGCCATCGAGTTCTCATCCATCAACGATGTTTCTTGTGATCTCACAGCAATTATATAATTAATATATTATATAACTTTAGAGAGAATCTAGTATATTTAAATAGATCAGTGATTTCTCAAAGGAAAGAGAAAAACGAAATGATTAAGAAAGGTTTTCTTTAGATGCTATACTTTCTATCAATATATATTACTGCATATTATGCTATAAAAACTGCAGTTTTATAGATTGAATTATTGAACTTCTCTTAATTTATTCCTGTCTCAAATTTATTGAAATATATCGGTAATTTTTGATTGTGTATATGTACAGTTCAATATTTTAATATATATGTTATTTACATGATATAGTTTATATACAACTAATATAACTTATATATAACTTTTATATAACTTATATATAACTTCTTCAGATAAATATGACAAAAAAAATAAAACAGGAAATATCTGTAAAGAATTGAAAGTTCTTCCAATTTGATCGGATTGGAATGAAAGAAGAAGAAGATGATGAAGAGAGAAAAGAGAAAAGGCACTATATCCATTGAGCGTTTGAATCGAAAAATTCTTAAATTATTCATAGAAAAAAATGGTAGCAAAGAAGACATCGTGAGAGTTGGCTTAAAAAATTATCAGCGTCGATTAATAAGCACGAGGCGAGGATGAGAGAGATATTCATCGATTCATCCATCCATCTCAATCAACTGTCCGATCTGTTTTGGCATAATCGAACGTGAACGAAGCATCGTATACAAACGCGCACCCCGAATAACGTTCGCGGCCACGTGCGCCCTCCACGTGGCCTATTCCTCCTTCCTTTTCTCCCCTTTCTTATTTATTAACTCTCTTCCTCTTTTTCTAGACGATCACGGAGAGACCGAGCAAGGTGAAGAAGCGAGCGAGGTATCCTCCGAAATTCCGCCACCTCTTTCTTCCATTTCGAGGTTCGCGACGTTCGCCATGGCCGGGGGTAGCTCAGGCCATCGAGCGGGGGAAGCCCGTAGAGGGGATCAGCGACGGGCATCAGCGTCTCGCTCCGATGTCTATTTTCATCTCACTCGGCGGCGTCGCGGCCACCCCTTGTCGCACCGCGTTCTCGGTATCATCGTCCGCCTAAAAAGGTAGATTGACCGTGGAAGTAACGCGATCCGCGATTGGTCGGCCAGGTCGACGAATCGGTCGTCGCGTTATACCCCAGGATCACGTTGCACGCGCTTATATTGGGAGCCCCCGCGCGTTTCCCCGACAGAACGGCTCTCTAACGTAAGTGCATCACGTCGCGTCCGTCGTGCGACACGTCGCCGGCCTTGTTTCTTTTTTTTCTCACTTTTCTCTTTCCTTCCTCGGCTAAGGCAGAAGACGGGAAAAGGAGAAATACGAAGGAAAGGAACATCCGGATGTAATATTCGGATACATCGTCCAATACGCATCACCTATCGCATAATTAGGGAGATCAACGCAGACACACGTGTGTACCCGCTATAGCGGATTAGTGATAAGGGATTTATTGGCGATATAGGGTGAAACTTAGGTCGGCAAAAATTTGGTGGAACTCGCGAGAGGACCGAATTCAGGTGGTCGAGAAAGGACTCTTGGAGCTCTTCTTCGATAGGATCGCGTGTGCGTCTGTGCGTCTGAGTCTGTCCCGGGAAGGAAGTCACCCCCAGGTGGGCGGATAGTGTTTGGCGAATGGGTGGTTTCAAGGGAGTGACTGTCTTGAATCTTCATTGATCCTCAGTGACGTACTCGTGTGAGAATCCGAGGTGCGAGCGAGGATGTGCCAGGACTCTTGGGAGGAGCCCTTTACCTGTGTGTGTTTATAATCCTTCGAATGGTGAACGGACATAGTGCGCTCCTTTTTCCCTTTTTCTTCTTCTTTTATATTTATCTTCCGTCTTCTTTATCCTCTGCCCCGATTTGACAAAATTAAAAAAATCGAATTTCCAGTGTCGATTAAATTGACTTCCAATTGTGTTTCTTTTTTTTCGCTGGAAGTAATGAGGTGCACACATCAGGAATATATCAATGTGCGACGCTACCAAGTTTGAGTTGTAGGCGTACAACTCGTTCAGTAAACGAATCATTGAAACGCATTTACATTTTTTCATTTATATTTATATGAATTATATTTATATTTTTTCATTTATATTTATATGAATAATATAATTTATATGTAATATATATTGTATATATAAAATTATATTTAAATATTTAAAGAGAGCAAGAGACAGTAAACTTTAAATTAATACAAATATACAATATATATGAATTAGAAAAGCATTAACTTATTTAGAATCAGATATTGTTTTTTTAATTAATATTTCTAAATTAATATTTGCAAATTTAATTTAATTTTAATTTAAAATTATATATTAAGAAGTAATCTATATTGTAATTTTTTACTTTACCGGAAATTGTATAAAAGACCCACTTGTATAAAAAAATTAATTTAACTGTAATTAATTTAACTATATGATTTTTTATCAATTAGTGGGATTGATTTTCTTTATACGAATAAAATTTCTATTTAGAAATTTGTTTTTAAATTAAAAATTGAAGATTTCTTCATCTATTAAAGTTTAGTGAGTTCTTCCAGTGATTCTAAGATTCTAAAGTTCTCTCGTTTTATCATGTTTATAATCTATATTTTTTTTTATATTTATTTTCTTTTTAAAGTTTATCGTTTTTCCCTGTCTATCAATATTATTCTTTATTATGATCTATATATCTATGATCGATTTTGTTTATCATTTAAAGTATACGTTTTTCCAACATCTGTTAAGCCAATAAACTTACGAAAATGTCTTCTATATATTACACATTTTTCATATTTGTTCGAAGGAACGAAAATATCGGAGATCTTGTAACGCGATACATCGCTCTTTTTGGTCTGATCGCCAGTGCCGCTTCGTGTCTGCTCCATTTTGTATTCTTATCTGATTATGCAATCCCCTATCGTGTTCTTCTTCGTGACTCTTCTTCATGATGCACGTACAATCGTCGAGTATTAGTGTCAGTGACATCGTAGTAACATCACGTAAAGTTGATTGGAGGTGAAGCGTATTGGATAAAATAAATTTTTATTACTATTGAAATATTATTTTTTAAATATTTGAGTGAAATTAGAAAAGAGAAAAGCCGGCGATTGTCGACGACAATTTTAAAATATTTTTTAATTTTACTTTACGAAACTAGGAAACTTCTAGCACTAGACAATGGTTAAGAAATATTTACTCTCACATCTGATATTTTATATAAAATAATTTTTAATATTTTAAACATTACAAATAGAGATTAAATAATAGAAGAAATACTTTTTAAAATTATTAAAATTGTTAGAATGTGTTTTGCGGATATATTTTACATTATTAATTCATAAATACTTCAACTAACTTGATAACATTAATCTTTTTTTTAACAAATCGGCGACCCAACGACTTTTAAATTACAAATGGTCAAAATAAAAAATTTTTGAGTTTTAGGGAGAAATGGAAATACGTATTTTTATATTTTTTTTATTATAATATATATTTTTTTACTTAAAAACGCGATAAATATAATATTTTTGCTTAAATAAATTTAAAATAAAAAAATAAATTTTAGAAATTAGAAATAAATTTAAACTTAAGAAATCTATGGAAGAGAGAGAAAGAGTCTATTGATTTGTGAGAAATATCTGGGATATCTCATAAAATAGATTTTCTCGGCCATTGTTTAGCGTTATTAGATTGGCACAAAAATTTCTAGTATTTATCAAATAAAGTTGAAAATTAAATTAGACAATTGAAACAGAAAAATAATTTTGTATTATAATTAAAACATATAATCATTGAGGTTGCCTTGTATATTCTTAAAAGATATTAATGGAAAAATATTAGATCTCTTTTGCATCAATGACTAGTTTCTCAATGAGTAGTTTCGTAAAGCTTTAAGCAACTGGAGGAATCGAGATTTTCTAATCGATCGTTCCCCAGGGCCGCCCGTAACGTGCCGCCAGAAGTAGTCCGTCCGCCGCCGAACCAACAACAAGCCCCAAAGGCAAACGACAGGAAAAAGAGGAGCAGTCCTCCCCTCCTACCGAAAAAGAAGCTAGTCTTCACAAGATAGCCCGTGAGTTCTACGACATCAGTTTATCGCTAGTAGAGCCCAGAGAAAGCATCGAGGATGCCAGCCGTGAAGCCCCAGGAGGGAGAGGATCCCGATCCGACCCCATATCTCTTCGTCTCTCTCGAGCAAAAGAGAATCGACCAGACAAAACCCTATGACGCGAAGAAGGCGTGCTGGGTACCCGATGAGAAGGATGGCTACCTCCTTGGCGAGATCAAAGCCACCAAGGGCGATATCGTCAGCGTCGGTTTGCCTGGCGGCGAGGTATGTCTTAATAAATAAATGATCCCTTCTTTGACCTCCTTTATTCTAGGAATATATCGAATTGCTTGGAAATAATGACCAACTAATGAAAAAGACTCGGTTTTTTTTCGAAGAATATTTTTTTTTAACCAATTCTTTTTTAATTTTTATAACAAATGTAATTTCTTCATCTTAAGAAGAAATTAAAATTGAAGAAATCGGCTGTTATTAGACTAAATTAAATTAAGATATCTGAAAATAATGTTATGAAATTATTTTATTTTATTTTTTGGATGTTAAATATACAAAAAATACTGATATTTCATATCACTGAAAGTAATTATATCTAGTATTCGAAATTTTAATGCTTTGAAATTTTTTTGGATGTAATTGTAATTGCATTTTATATTTTAAGAAATATTGTTTAACAAATTAATTTTGTACTTAGAGTTCCAAAATAATTGAAACACAATGATGTGATGATTTTTTTACAATCTATATAATATATATATATATATATATATATATATATATATATATATGCTTTAATAATTTACATATTTCATTCAAGTATAAGAAACTAAATAATTTTTTAATTCAAATTTTGAATGAAAATTGTTCAATTTAATTTAAGTAAATAATAATTATAATTTTGACTAAATTTGCAAGTATATTATGCGATATTTCTTTTTTGTATTTTATACAGTTAATGCATTTGTTTTCATTGATACATTCAAAATATTTTATATTCAATCAAAATATTTTATTCAATTTAAATTAAATCAAAATATTTGATTCAAGCAAGATATTTTATAAGTATATTCTAAAATTTTAGAATTATATTTTAAAAGAATGCTTTTATTTTTTCTATGTTTTTATTAATAATTATTCTTATGTATGTAATTTAATTAATAATCATTAATAATCATTGATTAAATAACAATTGCATCAAATAATCGTAACTTAATTAAATGTCGCAATAGTTCGTACCATATTGGAAGCGTCAGTCTGTCTATACAACTTTTTTTTCTACTGTCTGTCGTAGAGAGTGATTTTTTCTACTGTAATTTTCTTTATCCAAGAAATTCATTCTTATTTTTAAATATATGATTCTATTTTATTGTTTACACTCAAGAGAAAATTTTTGCACTTAAAATAAAACCTTGTTATAAATATAAATAAATACAATATAAATATAAAAAAGAAAATGACAAATGTGTTTATTTCATATATAACGGTAAAGATATAAATCATTATACTACTTAAAAGTACAAATAATATAAAGACTTACTCAAAATTTTTGGCAAATTTCATCGTAATCTTTTTCTCTATCTCGAATTAAACTCCAAAAGTGATGTAATACTTTTTGTGAGAGCGTGATTACGTCGGAAAAACATTTGCGCGAGTTTTCGATTACGCACGAAGAAGGCGTCGACGCGAAGACGCGTTCCGATTCCGCCGGATAAATCTGTTCGCTCGCATAAATTTTTCGTGGGGCAAGGGAGGGAGCGAGTCTGTTTACTCCGCACAGCGATTTCCGTCGATCGCCATGGAAAGATCAAGACGTGATTTCTACCTCTGCCTTGGCGATTTTTTTAACTCGCTCGGCCAAGAAAGATGGAGATAGAAAGAGGGAGTTTGCTCGCTTCTATATATATAGTCCTGGACAAAATTAACGCATAATTTTTTTTCACTTTTTCTTTAAAATTTAAATATCAGCTTTTAAAGAAAAAGTGAAAAAAATTATGCGTTAATTTTGTCCAGGAGTATATATATATATATATATATATATATATATATATATATATATATATATATAAGGAGGAGAAACGGGGATCTTGCTAGCAATCTATTTTCGGAGAACAGAAAACCGGCCGCGAACCGCCGGCGCTGTCGACCTTCTGTCACATGATTGCTCGAAGGCACTCTCTTGGACAAAAATAAAATCCCTTTTGAGCTTGTGGCCTATCAAAAAACGCATTATGTAAAGGACGACATTTTATTTTTTCTTCTTTTCTCTTTCCTGCTAGCGAAAATAAGTAACGATAATCTGTCTTTGAAACAAGGTATTGGAGTTTTGATTTCCTTCTCTCATTTTATGAAACGAGAATTTGCAATCATTTTTGAGAAAATTCTTAATAATTTAAAGTATGCAATTACATTGTGTGTATTTTTCTTATTTTATAGAGAATATCTAAGTGTATAGATTTCAATTTTGCTTGCAAAAATATATGTAGCAATAATAGACAGTGTCGTATCGAATAATGAAAATATACAATGCATAGAATTTTTATTCTACAGAAATTCTAATTAATTTCTGTAAATCTTTAATTTTTTACAATTAATGTTATAATTATGTCTGATTCTAAATTGTAATAGATATTGTGATAAAGCAAACAAAAAGCAGATCGTGTGATTGATATTAATCTTGTTACTAAAATATTCTCGCTCAATTCAAATTAATATATGTTTGTCGATGGATTCTAATCAGTATATAATTCGATAATCCAATATTTTTAAAAACGCTTTTTTAAAAAGAATTTTTCTCTTTCTAGCATCCTGAAAGTAAAAAAACAATAATTAAAATGATTTTCGAGACTATCAGATTTTTACATGACTTTTTATAATATTGTTTTAAAGAGAAAATTACAAAAATTACAAAATGATAGATGTGAAATTTATACTTTTGTAATACTTTCTTTTTCTCTTTTTCTGTCTTCCTGTAGAATTTTATAATACTATATATATTTTTTCAAGAGCATTTTAAAGTTTTGAAATAATTTAAAATTATGTAATTCAATTATTCACGCCTCCTATCTTTTTCTCTTTTACCAATGCATTCCGTACTTAGACAATAAATAAACTTTGCGCTGTCTTATTAACATTTTATTGATCGTATCAACACCATAAAAATTGTTTCATTTACAATTATTGTTATTATTAAATCCTGATCGCATTTGATGTCTTAAAATTCAATTGCGTATTATTTTTCATGCAATTTCGAGAAAAGTGCATTATTTTCGCGCATCAGGCCTGAACTTCATTTTCGGGGCGCGTTTAAACGGCATCGTTGTCCGTGTTCCCGTCGGTTACATAATGGTTCAGCAAACCCGTGCTATCTTGCTGCGACAGTAAGCCTAAATGCTATTGTTAACCGTCGTCGCTAGCGCCTGGCGTAATAATAAGTTGAAACGCTACTTCTCGAAACGCGGGTCAACGTATTTTTAGAGCAGCAACTTCTTGTGCATCGAGCTTGAGAGAAACGCGCCCGCGAAAGGAGGAGAAAGAGAGAGAGGAAGAGAGGGAGAGAGAAAGAGAGAGATGTCATAAATAGTTGCCAAAAAGCCTTCTTATGTAATACGATAGTCGAGAAAAAGTGCCTAGTTTTTTTTTCCATTATACAGATATTTAGCGCAACCCCTTCTTCACCCTTATATCACGATTGACCCATTTCAATTGTCTTTCAATTTCAATTTTGTAGAAATTAATTTTTTGCCAGATTGTATTAATTTTTCTGCTGATATTTCAAGCATTTATGATAGTAATATAATGTTATAGTTACATGTGATTATTTAATAACTAATGCATTCTCTTTTATATATATCTTACTAATTATGTATAAATTGATTGGAATAATTATATATGTATATAAAACTTTATTTTTAATTTTTAAATATTGGAGAGCATGGGGTAGAGCGTAAGTATATTAAAAATAGAAATCGTTAATGGTTGCTGATGTAAAATTGGAAGTTATTATATTCTAATAATATTATATTTAATAATTTTATAAATATATCTTTAGAGTATACATAATTGCAATAAAAAAAGCGCTAAAAATTCAAAATTGCATAAAGACTGAATCTAAACTGGATTATATACAACTATGAAGTAACTCAATAATTTAAATGCAATGCGCACTGATCCAATAAAATTTTAAATATTTATATTTAATGTTTGTTTTTTATTTGAAATTATTGCATTAATAGTTTCTATTAACAATATAAATATTTTTTTATTAAATTAATATATATATTTAACTTCTTTGCATCTTTATCTTCGAAAATTTAAATAATCGAGAAATAATTCATTCTTCTTGACTTGAGAAAAACATATTTTTCGAATAACAATAATATATATTTCACACAGAAGCTCGAAAGTGTTTTCTTTATTTTTTGCAATTGTATAATAATCTTTAAAATAAGTATAATAAGTATAATAATCTGAGAGATCGATAAAATTATTAAATATAATACATGATTGGCAAAAAGAGGCTTGATTGATACGTGTAATAATGACAGAACAAAAAAAAAGAAAATAATTAAATGAGAGAGAAAAAACCTAAATGAAAGAGAAAGAAAAAAATTTTGCAATGCTCGCGCAGACGAAACAATTCCGCAAGGACCAGCTGTCCCAAGTGAATCCGCCAAAATTCGAGAAATCCGAAGATATGGCCGACCTGACATATCTGAACGAGGCGTCGGTGTTGCACAACTTGAAGCAGCGTTACTACGCCAAATTAATTTACGTAAGTCGATTATCGTGATCTATCACCACTAATCCGTCCTTTCTTTCTCTGTCGGGGCCCGATGACAGACCAGGGATTTCAAGAAGGATCAGCTGCAGCAGGTGAATCCGCCCAAGTATGAGAAAGCCGAAGACATGTCCAATCTGACCTATCTCAACGATGCTTCGGTCCTCCACAACTTGAAGCAACGTTACTACGCCCAGCTCATCTACGTAAGGCAGCGACGAAGAGATGCTCGCCCCCCTTTCCTCGCTTCTGAGGAAGGCTTTGTCTAGCTTTGTCTGGTCTCGAGTGTTTTTTCTCCTGTTTGCGAGCCGCACAATCTCGCATTTTTCTTTCAAAATTCTTTCATTTTGTCGAAGGATAATGTTACGAAGGATTTACTCGTCGCTCAAAACGCCAGAACGCGTCATGCGATGTTCCTTCGGAGATCCTTCGGGTTTTTATTTTATCGTTCATTCGTCATCCGCGATAAGAAGCTCGCCAGGATGCGAATCCTTCAGGAGCATCGTCGTAAAGCACGAAGACGTGCCACGACGTTTCCTGGCTTTTTTATTCCCATCATCTTTCGATGATTTCTTCTTTTGCAAGGACCATAATCTTTCCTCCATTCGATATCTCCATCACTGGAAAATGCATGATATTTTTTCCCTATCTTATTCATTTATTTATTATTCAAATGAGAGGATGATGTCGTTTTAAAAGCACCGTGACGTGCCACGATGTCTCCTAGCTTATCGATCTTTTTATCATTCTTTATAATAATTTTTCCGCAAGGACAATGAATTTCGTGAACACTCTATATTTTAATTGCCGGAGGATGTATGAATTTTTGTTTTAATGTCGTTACAAAACACAATGACGTGCCACGACGTTCTGTGATTTTTTCAGTATTGAATTTTCTTTTTCCTCTGAATTGATAATGATATTTATTTCAAAATTTGGTCATTAATTGGGCATTTTCTTGATGTTGAAAGGAATGAATAAAACGAAAGAAGAAGTATGTCAATATCAATTATTGTTGAAAAATACTTCAACGGATTATTTTTCCTTTTAATTCGCACAAAATGTGCAATCGATCTTTCTATCGTTCTGTGTTTGTTTCCTCTTTTTCAATGTTTCATCCACTGTGTTTAACTGAATGAATGCGCTCTAGGGCCTTCACATATTTATAAAACGGAGTTCCCGAAGGATGCCCTCGTTTCGAGACGCGAGTCGCATCCGCTATGATGGAAGATGGACTGTTCCTGCTGCATCAACCTGTTTTTTCGTTCCCATTTTAATTATTTTATGTATATCTTCCGCTATATAAGGTCATCGATATTGTCTGATTATTAAAAAAACTTCTCGATTTATATAATATAAATTTAAAAATATTACATTGAATTAATATGCATAATTAATGTTTTCTAATTGTTCTCTGTACTTTTTCGTATTATTTATACATAATATTAATTTATTAATAATTTAATAATTTTTATTAATATAAAGATTTTAATAATATCATACATTATCGATGCTACATTTTATGCCAAATTTCAACTGTCCGAAGTTTAAACAAAAAATTGAATTACATTATTACAATTAATCTTTTATTTTATATTAAACTTTATAACATTACTCTGTTAAATCTGTAGATTTTAAAATCCCTCCGTACTTTTTCAAATCTCTCTATAATTTGTTATAATGCATTTAAATCCTATATTTTATTAGGTCGAAAATTCATATAATTTGCGATAATTGAAATAATCTTTTTTACCGATTTCGGACAGTAGAACTATGGCTGTAATTTGTTGTGCAATTGCAATGTGATTCTCTCTTGCGAACCGTCAAGGATCAGTCCAGGCATGGAACGTTGTCCGAGATCCCGATCTTTCGTACATTGATCGATCTTTAAATAATCATCGATTTCTCTACATTTGCAGACCTATTCCGGCCTGTTCTGCGTGGCAATCAATCCCTACAAAAGATTCCCCGTGTACACTCATAGGTGCGCCAAACTGTATCGCGGCAAGAGGCGTAATGAGGTGCCGCCGCACATTTTCGCCATTTCTGATGGAGCTTACGTCAACATGCTTACTAGTGCGTAAAAATATGATTATATTTAATTATTATATTAATTATCAATACTAATTGTAATATCGTTGGAAAAGTATTACCTTTGATATAAGAAATCAAGACATAATTTTCATAACAATTAAACTAAATTAAATTAAACCAATTTAATCTCGATGTCAGCGGATATAATTATTATGTAAAAAACGCTTTTCTTAAAATTTAGAGACAATATAATTAAAAACTTTTATCAATTTTTGTGCGTTGTGTAAAATCGATGTGTTTATGTGTCTCTACCAACAGACAGTGAGAATCAGTCTATGTTGATCACTGGTGAGTCTGGTGCCGGAAAGACTGAGAACACGAAGAAGGTAATTGCATACTTCGCCACCGTCGGTGCCTCGAGCAAGAAAGAAAAAGAAGAGCCTGGCAAGAAGAAGGGCTCTCTGGAGGACCAGGTCGTCCAAACCAATCCTGTCCTGGAGGCCTTCGGTAACGCCAAGACCGTCCGTAACGATAACTCCTCTCGTTTCGTAAGTGCTTCTATTTTAACATGCTTAAACATACGAGGCGTCCAATAAGACAAAATAGCCATTACTATATTTGGCCAAGATAAACGATTGCGTATATATGAGGAAGTCTATAATAGTGTTTCGGAAATATATAGAGATGAGAGAAAGAAGGAGCTGCTATATAAAAATTTTATTTCGACACTCAGAAATACAAAATATTTTTTTTAAATATTAAGTTTTAAATATTAAATAAATATTTTTTAAATATTAAGTTTAAGATTGAAATTAAATTAAATTTTTTGCTTAGATTTAAATTTATTTTTATAAAAAACATAAAATAATAAAATACATAAAATTACATAAAATAAAATACAGAAAATACATAAAATTAGAAATTGAGGAAAATATTTTCTTCAACTGATCGATTTCTCTTCGAGCGCGATTTAATAAAATCTAATTATATAGATGAATTAATTAATTAATGTTTCTTTTGTGAATAGGGTAAATTCATCCGTATTCACTTTGGCCCTTCTGGAAAACTGGCCGGTGCTGATATCGAGACTTGTGAGTATCGATTTATCTTGGAAATTGTGACAAAGAAATCGCGGTTATTATTTTTGCGCAGTTAACTGCGATATCGTGTTTAGTAGTCACATCAAGGTGACGGAAAAGGAACGCGTTTATTATCGTCGCGACCCAATACACATACCGTACAGGCGCAGTTGGCTTCGACTCGCGTGTGCACCATTCGAGCTGTTCTTCGATTGCGTTCGGTTATTTTTGGGCGACCGCTCCGTTTCGTTTCGTTTGGCTTAAATTTCGCTCGCGTCATCGCATAACTCGATTTCCTTATTTAATTTTGTGCTATAAACAACAATGTATCACGCGCAATTTTTTTACACAGCTGTGTTTGTGATGAATTTTTATTAGCAAGAAAAATGAAAAAAATTAATATTTTTAATTATAAGGCAAATCAAATTATTACATTAAATCGATTATTTTAATGGCAATCTCTCAATTTATCGTTATTTTTAACGACGTGATTGCACTTTTGACATTTAAAAAAAAATGCTAGCATTGCTTTTTTATTTATCATAAATGTTTTCAAACTATTTAATAAAATCTATTCGATACTTTTAAAATTATACGTAAAATTTTCACGGCACATATAATATGTATTTAAAATGATTTTTTTCTCCCGTATAGATCTGCTGGAAAAAGCTCGTGTCATCTCTCAACAGAGTTTGGAACGTTCATATCACATCTTCTACCAAATGATGTCCGGATCAGTCAAGGGATTGAAGGGTAAGATCATTGATATTCCGCGAGAAGGAAACTGATCAAAAAACTGACAAAATTTAAATAAGATTTACGCGTCGATTTGTATAAATAATATTTTTCTTCCAAGAATGATTGATAAATTACCGCTGCCTCGAAAAATTAATTATATCTATATATTTTTCTGAAATATAATATAACGAAATATTAAATTAAATTTAATTAATTTAATATTTAATTTAGTTTAATGTATCTCATTTATATATGAGAAATTAAATGCATAAATTATTTATATACAAGAAAATAGCGCTTTTGTGCTATAATACTAAAAATGACAAAATTAAATCTAATTAATTATTCTCGAAATGAAAAGTTAATTTTCTCGAGGTAGCGGTCATTTCGTCAGGAGGTTTTGCGATCGCTCTCGATCTCGATAATGGGATTAGATTAAGAAGATGAAGATAGATGTTGCGGAATCCAGGGAGAGAAAGGATTCACGCGTAAATTTGAGGAGCGATAATCGCCCAGAGGGTCGTCCTTCTTCCTCTCACACATTTAAGTAAAGTTTCTCACTGCCAAATTATGTGTCCCTCACTTCCATGCAGCAATGTGCCTTCTAACGGACAACGTCGGCGATTACTACTTCGTATCTCAGGGCAAGACGACGATTCCAGGCGTCGACGATGGCGAGGAGTGTTTGCTGACCGACGTAAGGACCTGACGATGACGAATATCGCAGGATTCTCGCCTTTCGTTTATCTTTGCCAACCTCTTGCCCTCTCCTCATGTATATGACACCTTAAAAATCGATTGCTGGCAATCGGTAGTTTTCTTGAATTAACTGTATATCATTGCCTGGAACAACTGTAGCAGGCAATTAGTAATACCTCTAAACGAGGTCATCATGGGAGAGACGTGTTCATCAAAGTCAATTTCTTTTAATCAAATTTTAAATGGCGCAATTAATTAATGTTTATTCATAGAGCGCAATTAATAAATGTTTATTCATAGAGCATTAAATTACTTTTTAATTAACATATCAATGATTTTAAATGGAAAGAGATTTATTCGGACTCGACGTCTAAATAGTTTTAAAACAAGGAAATTTTAATCAATTGGCATTTTAATATATAATCGATTAGATAGAAAAGAAAATTAATGCTCTTAAATTTTAAAAAATTCAAAAACTTAATTACAAATTTGGTTGATTTTTATTAATGTAATTTTAAAGAAATTTATTTTGATTAAAATAATTTTTTATTTTACATCATTTTTGTTTTTCTTAAAAAAGAAATTAAATAAGATTATTATATTTCAAGAAATTTGATGATGACGGATACGTATCTCTTGCGTAGTGTATCAGTGTGTTGGTAGACATTTCTACGAGAGCTGAAATATCTTGTACATAATATCAGTCTTCTAGCGCAATCCGCAGAAAGAGCAGCGATATTTTGCACAGCTGTAGAAACTGTACTGTACTGTACTGTATTGCAGAAAACGTACTTTGAGAGAGTAATTAAAGTATCAAATTAATATCCTAGACAAGAGAACCATCTCATTGCTTGATTCCGTTTTAAAGATATTCAGAAAATACAGGAATAAAACATTAATAATACGAATAATAACTTGCAGTAATAAAAATATTAAAAAATATTTTAATAATATTTTTAATATTTAAAATATTTTTAAAAATATTTTTATTTAAATTGATGTTTAGACACAATTTATAAAAAATTGACGATGAATTATGTCAAGATAGCTTGTCAGAAATATCTTAATACGAAATAAAAGCAAAAACTTGGATCTTCGGAAATTAATTTCTCCTGATTTTAAAGATTTTAATTCATGATTTAACGAAAAATGTTTATTTAAAAAAAATACAATTTTGACGAAAAAATATAAGCAATTCGATGGTTTTCTCATCGAGCTAATCCCTGACGAGTACAGGTAGCTCTATTTTATAATTGTTTGTTCTCCCCGATATCTCTGCCTTTTCGAGACGCAGTTGAGAGAACTCGTAAACTTGTAAGAGTTCATAGATTCCCTGTAGATAAGAACCCTTTTTTCGATGTAACGATGAAAAGCCAGAAGGAAGCATGGTCTATCATCGGTTGTTTTAACGACCCGCATGTTTTTTTTTTTTTACTTGGTCATCCTGTAGAGATGTGTCTGCTGACCAACAACATCCATGACTACCACTTTGTGTCACAAGGCAAGACAACGATACCCGGTCTCGATGACGGCGAAGAGCTTTTAGTTACTGATGTAAGTGCAATGACCGAGCAGGATCAGCTGATAAAACTAGATAAAAGAAATTAACTATACTTATTATTTAATTTTTATTTTTTTTAATTTTCTGGAAATAATTATTTATTATTAGTAATATAAAAATATGTACTTTCTTTTATTATATTTTTAAAGTTTCTTTTTCACAAAAACTTTTTATGCATTTTCCTAAAAAAAAAATCTTTTCTCTTCCTGTTATATGTAAAATTTCATCTTTTATATTGATGGTTCTGTTAATCGTTTCACTTTCTACTCGAAATTCGCTGATCTGACTCTCTAGCACTAAATCCTTTGTCGTATATACATAATTGTCTTAATAATCTTTCCGCGTATGAATAGTGAGCGCTTTTGAAGAGGAGATCGCTCAATATATATTTCTTCGAGCGACGATTTTTTCCATGCATTTTGAATCTTTTGCATCAGCTTTTACATACATATTGTGTTTTTCTTGTATATGTGAAATATCATTTCTCTTCATGTCTGTATCTCTCTCTGTATATGTTAGCTATATCTCTTTTTCTTTTACTTAATGTTTCTTTCTCTTTCTTACTTTCTTTTTCTCTTTATCTATTTGTTCCTCTTTTTCATTACAGTTCTTCGATATGTTGCACAATTAACTAAACATATTTTTACAGCATTACACACGGACATCTGTGTTAACTTCTCTTTTCTCTCTCAATTTCTCTCTCTTTTTCTTCTCTATCGCTCTATCATTCTTTTAGCGAATACTTGCCGCCAATAATTTGCCATATTTTTCTGCAAATCGTTGCGAGCACCGATGACTTCGATCACTTTTGATATATCCTATTTAATTTTTTTATTTTATTACTTATTTAAATAATTGTAAATTATTTTAAGCGCTAAGTTTATGGTTTATGGTCAAATTAATGAATAATTATTTGCTAGCCGGATTAATGTAATTAAGAAAGTGCATTTCCCGAGAAAAAAGGGGAAAAAAGACTCAAAATGTCGACGGTGATCGCTCGCTATCGCTCGCTTGCCAATTATGAGATCAAGCGTTGAAAAAAAAATGTGACTAATACAGAATTGACCATGCTGAGTAACCGGATCAGCGACTACTCGTACATTAACCAGGGTAAAACCAGAATTCCGGGAATCAACGACGGTCTGGAAATGGATGCGACGGATGTAAGTCCAGCCCCCAGGGTGTCTCTGAGCCTCGGCGAAATTCAGGCCTCCTTGATTTTTTACGAAATTATCAACGTTAATTTATGTTGCAGATCAAGCTTTGCTGAAGGAAAAATATTTAAAGTCTTACAATTAGAAAAATAATTAGGACCATCTGTCAAACGATTAAAATTGGATTATTTTAGTGATTATTTTTAATTAATAATACAATACTTACATATTAAATATTTCATTAACTTTTAAAGTTACATGTGGTCTTTTAAATTTTATTAAACGGCAATAGATGCTCTTTTTTATCCAGTTGACTTAGTTTTAAATTTTTGTAATTTATCGGAAAAAATATTTCTTTTGTTACCTTTTTTCTTAATGATAAGCAAAGTGGTACTGAGGTTTGTCCGAGGATTTACCACCCCCTCGCCCCCCGCCTGCGAAAGCTGCCTGCCGCCGCAATCGGGGTGCGGGGAGATTGGGGGCGCGAGGCTTTCTTACAGTGGAAGAAATATTCTTTTCTGTCGAAATACTATAGTAACTGATCGCCCCGCTCCCCGATACGTCCACCCCATATACAATATATATGTGCCAGGCTGTTGGAAACGCGCACTCGCAAATATAATAATCTCTTCGTTTTTCCTCCCTTTTTGAGACTCAACTGTCTTCCAAATAATTTTTCTTGGAAAGTTTATATTATATATTTTTTTCCTATAAAATGAAATTTTAAAAATTCTTCTCTCAAGAATAAAAGAAATAATTTTTAAGTAAAAACAACATTTTAGAAAGTGCAAAAATCTGTATTTCTAAAATACTTTAGAAATAAAATAGCCCCAAGAGAAAGGAAAAATTTCTCCTCATAAAATATTGCAATAATTAATCTCAGAATTGCTATGTGAACTTTTTGAGGAGAAAAGGTATCTTTGAGATAAAAGGATTATTTTGAAAAAATATTATTATTAGATATTTTATTAAATATTATTATTAGATTTTTTTTCTAAGGTGAAATTTTCTTAAAAATTTTTTTGAAAAAAATATCAGGGAAAGAAGCTTTGAGTCTCAAAAATTGACAGCATAATATTGATCGACGATGACTCGATCGCAAATCGATGGCCGCTAATAGGTTAAGGATGGATCGATAATTGGATTCTCGGAAACGAGAGAGAGAAACTGAACGTCGAGATTAAAATGATTTTTGAAACTGCAACCTTGTTCTTCGAAATGCTTCACAGAGAACTGTCTTTTGTCTGAGAACATATACGACTATTACAACGTATCTCAAGGAAAAATCACGATCCCCAACGTCGATGATGGCGAGGAATGTTTACTGACGGACGTAAGTTCCCTTATTACTCCGGTTGTGAAGAACAGTTGTTTCCTCCCCAAAAAATTTCGACCCTGTATCTTTGGATCATTTGAATATATAAATCATCCCCCCTTCTAATATAGCGATGTCGATCACAGCAAAATATTTTATTATATTAAATTTAAAAAATGGAATAATATTATATAATAAGAATTAATTATGAAACAATAATAGTTACTATAATAAGAATTAATTATGAAACATTAATAGTTTATTAACGAGATAAAGATAACTATCTCTGATTTGTTGAAGATTGACGTCGTTATTGTTTTTCTATCTCAGATATTGATTTATAATATCTGAGTATAGATATCACACGGATGATAATGAGCAGCAATATATTTGCATAAAATTATTATTTTTTAAATATTTTTTACAATTTTCAAATTATTTTATTTTATTTATTATAAAATTAATCTTAAAAATTAATTAATCATTAATTGACTTTTAATTTAATTTAATGTTAATTTGTTTTAGTATTTTCAAGTTTATTGGCTTTTATTTTTCGATATATCAATATAAGAGAATAGATCAATAGAGAGAAACAATTTATTTTAATTTATCAAATTTTTGTTTATTAGTTTAAAATATAAATGAATTAAAAATATCTAAAGATTTAATGTAAAAAAAATTAATATAATCATTTTAAAAAATAACGTAAAGTTAATTAAGGTTAATTAAAGTTTATTTTATATTAATCTTTTGTATTGTTTTTGTAACATTATATAATATTGTCATACATTATTTTAATATTGATTTAAAAAATTGAAAATGAAAATTTAAAATATAAAATTTATTTATATATTACATTATATGTTATATGTGTATAAACAGCATACACACACACACACACACACACACACACACATAATTATGAAAGAGATATTGTTGCTTCATTATCGATCTCCGCATAACTACCATATATAGTAGTTCGATATTTCCACTCATTTTCGGTAGTATTATTGCTCTCCCTTATCGACTCCAGTTCTTTCATCTGGAGAAACCAGAGAAATCTCGAGAGAATTCTTTTCTACCCCGATTGAGAGATTCAACAGTACTTCAAACGTTATATCTCAGTAGTTAATGACCCTGTTGGTACCCTTGGTAATTACTTTCCCCTGTAGGAAATTCCCCTGTAGGAAATCCCCCTTTCCCAGGTTGAAACTTTGATAAATTTGGAAATGCAGCCTCGAGGAAGTGATTCTTCATCGATCGAGGACATCGTAGAGTAAAGAAGAACGATGATTCGAGTTGCTTCCCAAAGAAACAAAGGAGCCAAAATCGACGACGAGGAATCGTCCAGGCTGACCCTGAAGGGCGAGCTTGTTCCTTTTTATCACAAAGGAGGCACTTTGCGACGAATGCGATCTAGAAATCCGGCTCGCAATTTCTCGTCGTCTCTTCTTCTTTTTCTTCTTTCTTTTCTTGTAGCAGATTAGTCCTGAGAGACTATGTGTATGAACGGTGTTAATTCGTTGACACCAGAAGAAAAGGAGCTATTGCCACGTAAAACGAGCTTTGCTTTCGCTTTTCAGCTCGCCATTGCTGCGAGAACGCTTCCAATTAGTTTCACCAATAATCAGCTGATTTCAATCTTGCAATTAGTCCGATTGATTCTTCGCTTTCTTCCAGAATAATGATTAGAAAGGGACGAAGAATTAATTGACCCATGATTGATTGAAGCTTTTGAAGAATTTTTGCGGTCGTTTTTTCGATCAACATTATGGTTAACTTTAATTCTAGTTTAATTGGTTAAAGATCAATTAATCCAGGATTATAATTGAAATCGATGTTTGTAAAATTTAAGAGCTTTTTTTCGAAGAGTTTTCTTCCAAATTTATTCAATATTTAAGATGGAAATCTTGATCGATTGTCAAATAAACGACCTTTAATCAAAGATAGAATAGTGATAGAATGCTTGACACTGCGCTAGCTTTCTTCCTCTTTCTCTCTTTTCTCTTTTTCACGCAACTTCCAACATGCGGTGCCAAACAATGTACAATGTAATAGATTACATCCATTGTTTGCCGTGCTTGGGAGTGTAACTATTTGTGTTGTCCTTGTGTGTTTCTTACTAATTGTCGCTCTTGTCTATGTAAATTTATCGAAACTGATATGAAAATCACGTCAGAGAAGTCTAAGGATTATCATTCGTTTTGTTTTGATGATAATCTTTTTTTTAAATCGTGATAGAAAATCATTAAATTATTATTCTTTAACTTATTAAATATACTCGTTAAATATACGTTTTATTGTTTCTAAATTTCTGAAACAATGTTCTAAATGAAATTAAGAAAAATTAAATAAAGTACTTTCTAAAAGTTTAGGATATCTTTTGCGAATCAATTCCTCATGTAATTTCAAATGATCTCTGACGTGAGAATGTCCATAAAACAAAAATTTTAATGAAGCTTCTTTCAATAACAGCAAGCCTTCGATGTGTTGGGCTTCACTCAGGAAGAGAAGGACAACATCTACAAGATCACTGCGGCCGTCATGCATATGGGTGGCATGAAATTCAAGCAAAGGGGTCGTGAGGAACAGGCTGAAGCCGATGGCACTGAGGTTAGAATTTCAAATAACTACTAAAAAAACTATAATTATTATATTTATAACAAAACAATTTTTTTCGCTATTTTTAATAATAATATAAAAAATAATTTCTTGAAATATGACAAAATAATTAAATTACTTCACTTGCGATCTTTAAGTTCGTCAGTTTCAATGCACTGTTTATTTCTGGTAATATTTCAAAATATTTTTGTGATGTTTTGCCACCGACTTTCGCATACATTTCTTATACAAAAAAATATCTTTCTAGATTAAAATTTATTTTTCTCAAAAAGACACTGTATAATATTTTTCTTCGGATTAGTAAGACCAGAAAGAATGTTGCGGAAGGCAAAGATAATCATGTTTTACATTACAGGAAGGTGATCGCGTGGCTAAGCTGCTTGGTTGCGACTGCGCCGATCTTTACAAGAACTTGCTGAAACCAAGAATCAAGGTCGGTAACGAGTTCGTTACCCAAGGTCGTAACAAGGACCAAGTAGCCTACTCTGTGGGCGCTATGTCGAAGGCGATGTTCGACAGGTTGTTCAAGTGGCTGGTGAAGAAGTGTAACGAGACCCTAGACACCAAGCAGAAGAGACAGCACTTTATCGGTGTACTGGATATCGCTGGTTTTGAGATCTTCGACGTAAGTTTCCCCCGAGTCACGATTCATAAATATACAAACACACACATAAATATATTAACGTGATCGTCGACGATTTCTGTAAAATTTTTAGCAATTTGTATTTTATTTTATTTAAACATATTTTATTTTATTTTATTTAAATATGTTAAATTATTTAAATATTTATTTAATTTAAATATATTTTATTTTATTTTATTTTATTTAAATATGCATTTTAATTACTTAAATATTTAATATCAAATAAACTTTGCTGATTATATAGTTTTTCGGAATATATCGTACGATATCGAAAAGAAAAGAACAGTCTTGTTTTCTCTTTTAAATCGTCGACGTGATCGTGAATGAAATCGACGGAAAAAGATGAAGGTGCGAGGAATTCACGCCTTTGATCATTACACGAACCTTACTTCCTCCCAATACAAAATAAAATAGGAAAGAAAGAGACTTTCGAAATCGAGCGAGAGTCACGAGAAGCGAATCGGAATTCGCATCGGGTGTTTCCAATCGTCTCGAACTAGTTGTCGAGAGATCCTCCTTTAGAACCTGTAATTATATCTTGGTACCTCGGTATCTCGCAGTACAACGGCTTCGAACAACTATGCATCAATTTCACCAACGAGAAGTTGCAGCAGTTCTTTAATCATCACATGTTCGTGCTCGAGCAAGAGGAGTACAAAAAGGAGGGAATTGTCTGGCAGTTTATTGACTTTGGCATGGACTTGCTAGCTTGTATCGAGCTGATCGAGAAGGTGAACGATCCGTCCTCTTCCTCCACGCGATCTCTCTAGGAGATCTATAGATCTTTGTAGAGCTAATTGCACGTTAATATTGTCGTTAACCGTTAATCTCGAAGAAATATGAATTTCTTCGAGGATGTGATTTAGATCTTCGTAGATCCTTGGATTTCCCGGATGTTCTATTCCTTTGGGATGCTGTAAATTTTTAGATGTCTTGATAGATTGTCGAATGGGTCTGCATTAGCCAGAATATTGACGATATTTTTGAATATTTTGATGGATAATTCCTTGAATGTCGTCGATTTATTAAACTACTGTCCCCTAGCGTGAATTATTTAGACGTTACGTTAATCTCCTGAATGAATTTATGTTATCTGGAATGAACTCCAAAATTTTTATTGAATAATTTAACGATTCCTTAGATGTTATTGTCCCTTTTGAAATGTACATAAATTTAATATAAATTTGTCTCGTTAATTTTCTAAATAATCCTCTATCATTCTGAACTGTATCTATAATAATGATTAATTCTATTTATTTTTATTTTTCTAAGATTTATTAATTGAAATAATCATTTCCGGACGAAAAAAACGCATGACTCTGAAAAATCCTTTCTAGTCGCCCAGAATTCTTGGAATGTATCCCTCGATAGAAATAGTAGAATTTTTCTCCGATTACGAAACCCAAATTTTCATTGCAACATGATTCGATAGGAATCGCTTTACTCTTAGATTTCCCGAAGATTTCGTATTCTCTCAGTCAAAGATCGAAGAGAGGCATCCTGCATCAGAGGTAAAGAGTTTAATTTTTTCACTCAACGATAGAGAAGGGTATCTCATTGACATTATTTATCATCATCGAAACAGTAGACTTTATGTAAAGTAGACATGGTAGTTTAAAGATGATTAAATCGTCCACTGCCTCTTTTTCTTAAATCACATACAATGTTTAACTGTTCGTTGGCAAACAGGACAGTCAAGATCGTTTAGAAAAATCCTTTCTAGTTGTCCCGAATTCTTAGAATGTATCCCTCGATAGAAATAGCAGAATTTTTCTCCGATTACGAGTCCCAAATTTTTATTGCAACATGATTCGATAGGAATCGCTTTACTCTTAGATTTCCCGAAGAATTCTTATTCTCTCAGTCAAAGATTCGAAGAGAGACATCCAGCATCAGAGGTAAAGAGTTTAATTTTTTCACTCAACGATGGGGAAGGGATATTCCATTGACATTATTTATCATCATCGAAACAGTGGACTTCACGTAAGGTAGACATGGTGGTTTAAAGATGATTAAATCGTCTACTGCCTCTTTTTCTTGAACCAAATACGATGTTTAACTGTCCGTTGGCAAACAAGACAGTCAAGTATCTTATCTTTTTACATTGATTTCCCTTTTGACGTAATTGACACAGTTGGTAATAGTAATAGTTGGAAGTAGACTAATATTATTGGACCCCATATATTTAGCACTTACAAAAATTTCGTTTGTGATCAGATATTCTACATCATCTGAATCACAAACTTATGTTCAGAATAATCGATGATATTATAAAAATAAAAATTGCATATTCTAACAACTCTTCCAATGAAAATAATTTAATACCATAAAATCTTAATATTAATTTTGTTGATTTAATAATATAAAGTATCATTTAATATTTGGTAATTTCAAATTTTTAATTTGACCTTAAATCTCTCCTTTTGTATTTTATGGATGAATATGCATAAATGTATCGATCGATATTCTGTACATTGAAATCAAGACACTCGAGCTACATTCTAGTAGCAAGTTTTAATCCGAAAGAGCGACCTCATACTAGGTTAGGTGATGAGGTTTACATCAGTTTGTCAATAAACGGTGCGTTATACCACCGATTTGTATTACGAAGACACCCTGTAAATAAAATTCCATGGATTCTCGTAATGAGATCCTGATTAGCCTGAAGTTTCGAATAGGTCGAAACGATAGAATCTATCTTATAAATTTGATTTTTCATTCCATAAAAATAGAACTCTTACGTAAAAATAGATAGAGCAAAATAATTTTCCTAATTTGACATATTTTCATTAAAAAAAGTAATTTCTTTGCATATAGCCAGATTAGTAAAAAACTTGATTAAGAATATTTTTACATGTATCAATCGTTTCGACATGAAACTTGAGGTAATGAGACAATTTTGTAAAAATATGTGTAAGAAATCCTTTGTAAATTGACCCTCACGTGTGTAAGAAAGGAACTGGACAAGAAAATCACGAAAATGCAAAAAAGACATGCCAAGAAGGAACAAAAAAAAAGGAAGGAAAATATGAAATGACATATATACACATATGCATGCCTGTTTCTTGCTCTCGAACAGTTCAACAGCTTCGAGCAGCTCTGCATCAACTTCACCAACGAGAAGCTGCAGCAGTTCTTCAACCATCACATGTTTGTCCTCGAACAAGAGGAATACACGAAGGAGGGCATTGAGTGGGCCTTCATTGATTTTGGCATGGACCTGCTCGCATGTATTGATCTGATCGAGAAGGTACAATAAGACGACAAACGATGGATCAATTTTGGCCAGCGAAAACCCGACAGACGGGTGTTCGGCCGAAAATAAAAAAAAGAAATAATTTAAAACCGAATAACGAGGAAAATAGACGAGAATTGAGTTATTAAGCAGGCGGAAATCCCTGGTTATTTATCGCAGATCAGAGGAAACCGCTAAACACTAACGCTTATTCTTTTAAAATTCAACAAAGTGATCGTCCACTGTTTTCTTGTCACTCTTTTCATGATCGTTGGTCACTTCTTCACTTTGATCTTCCTCGTCAGTCACTTCTACTCATTCCTTGATTCCCCTCTCCCTTTTTTTGTGTCGTTGATCTCGGAATTTCAGCCGCGCGTGTTGCTTTGATGAGCGCGTTTCTTTTTGCTTAGGTTAGTTCTTTTTGTTATTTACAATTAAATTTTTTCCGAGGAGATGTGGATTATAAATTTCAAAAATATCGAATTTTGTACATATTTTTTTATTTATTCAATATAATTATTAAAAATTATGAAAATTTATTCAATATAATTAGTAAAAATTCGTAAAAATTTCTGAGAATTCATACAAATTTCTAAGAATAAAATCTTAGAAATTGGATAAAAATATATACACATATATTATACAAAATCAATTTATGTAAATTATACATTATAAAACGGGCGTAAGATAAAACTTATTTGATTTACTTGACAAATTTATTCGCAGAGATCAAAGTTATGATATAATTGAATGAAATATATATTTTATATATTTTGCAAAAATATAAAATCTATTTTTCTTAGAGATTAGACTTTTCAGAATTTTAAGAAAAATTGAAAACAATTTTAAAATAATTTCAAACTCCGTACATATATGACACAAACAGCTAATCTTGCAAGAGTATTTGTCTCATTGATAATAATTTTTGTCTCTCCCTTCCTCTACCCTTTACCTGTTTCTGTTCGTCTGTCTACTGCCGTCTGTCCGACATATTCCTGTCGCACGCCTATGTACGCACGTGCAATTGCAAAAACGACAGTTCAACGGCTTTGAGCAGCTCTGCATCAACTTTACCAACGAGAAGTTGCAGCAGTTCTTCAACCATCACATGTTCGTACTCGAACAAGAGGAGTACAAGAAGGAGGGCATCGATTGGGTGTTCATTGACTTCGGCATGGACTTGCTAGCTTGTATCGAGCTGATCGAGAAGGTATTGTGAAGGTTTAAGAGCCTCAATTCCTAAGAGTTTATCCGGCTTCATGGACGATGAATCAACGAGAAATATTGAACCGACTTGTGAACAAGGAGCCGATTTCTCGTAAAAAACAGGATCTGAAACACTGAGAATTGATGTTGCTTCGCCGTTGACACTTTAGCCAATTTTTTCATGTTTTTACGTCTATTTTAATTTTTCTACATCGGCTCTTCGACGATGACGAAGAAACGCCGATCGCAACTTTTCAAGGTACTTAGTACGGGTACCTAAGCCACTTTTCCCCTTTCTTATTCCTGTAACGGCACTGATATCGTGTCCGTGAAAAATATTCCCTCGAGATCGTTCAATGGATTGAACGATAGTCAGGCATTCATTATATCTTCTTTGATAATCCACTGGGTTCAGTTCGCAATCCTGAAGAGACTGGAACGAACGTGAAGTGAAATTTTTTTTCGGTGTTAAAATCATTAAAGTTTTAAAATAAAAAATTAAATGCAAAGTTATCACGAGACTGAAATTAGCGAGAAAATAGCATTGCTCGAGAAATGAGAATTAATTTGTAAAATGTAAATATTTATAATTAATGACCCAGTATAATTGCCTCCTTTACTTCGTCACAAAAGCAAGTCGAAACTCTGAAAATTTATCCAATTATATTTAATTAATTGGATAAAATTAGCTAATATGACGAATATACTATCGATGTTTATCACGATATTATATAGATTTACCATGTAACGGCACATGCGAGTGTCTTTTCCTATCAAGTTATGCGACGAACTTGAAAAACAATCTTTCTCTTTTATTAGAATAATTAAAATTTGAAAATTTATAATTAATTATCCGTATTTAAAATATTTAATTGTGAAAATATGACGTAATTCGGAAAATGTCTAAAATAATTTTATTCAAACGCACTTCACTATTTAATTTTTCTATAAAAAGTCAAGTTTTAAATAAAATATATTAATATTTGAAAATTTTACAGTTCTCTGAAATTTTTCAATTTCGTCGCACGTCCCTTTTTTCATAAACTCCAAAAGTATATTAGAGTGTACTTTATCGATACCTCTTTGACTCTGGTGTCGATTACTCTCTCCTTTTGACCCCTCGTCCCATAATCGAACGATGAAAGTTACGAGTCGAAGTCATCGGTCGAGCGTTCTCCTTCCGTGTCATCAAACAGCATTAATGACAGCTGTTCTTCCCTGTTTTTTTTCTCTGTTCTTCGCTTAACCCCCTCCTGTTGCTGCGCCACTCGATCGAGCAGTTCAACAGCTTCGAGCAGCTGTGCATCAACTTCACCAACGAGAAATTGCAGCAGTTCTTCAACCACCATATGTTCATCCTCGAGCAAGAGGAGTACAAGCGCGAGGGCATTGAGTGGACGTTCATTGACTTTGGCATGGACCTCCAACAGACTATCGATCTGATCGAGAAGGTACCGCCAGGGCAGGTCGATAGATCGCACGAGGCCCGAGAGGAAGCTCGTGGCTTCACCGAAAATCACACGCATACATTTTCGCTCGAACGGCATCTTCGCTGATTGTGTTTCCGTCTTGCCTGTCAACTAACTCCACTTCCTATACCGTCATACTTTCACTACCGAACACTGTTGTTCGTCTCTCGTGGCGTCGATCGACAGGTGAGGCACTGAAGATTTGACAAAGTAAACGATTAATTACTTAAATCAATAATTTTTTTATTTTTTCAATCAGTCGATTCTGAAATCTCGTCTTCTTGATGCCATCACCTTCCGATCGCGTTGCGAGAAACTTCAAAATTAATCGAGGGACCGATTGGACACGGACGGTGTCCAACACATATCCTGTTTTTTTTCTGTCTCTGTGTTTTCTCTCTTTTCATTTCTCTTTCTCTCGCTATCTTTCTCTCTCCTCGCTGTGTGCCTGTGTGCGGCGTGGTGCATGAACAAACTCCGATGCAGTACAACGGCTTCGAGCAGCTGTGCATCAACTTCACCAACGAGAAGCTGCAGCAATACTTCAACCATCACATGTTCGTGCTCGAGCAAGAAGAGTACGAGCGCGAGGGTATTGCTTGGACTTTCATCGATTTCGGCATGGACTTGGAGCCGACGATCAATCTGATCGAGAAGGTAAACCGGTCCGCGCGGGACACGGACTCGAGTCATCCGGCTATTGATCCAGTAACTTATCTAGCAAACTACCGCTTGAATCCAGCTTCTTCAGCCGCGACTTCGTCCCCTGTTTGTTAGTGTTGTATACCTTCCACAATGTTGTTTGTCTGTGTGCACTTAATTACGTACGTATCATCTTCTTTACATCAGAATGTCACGGATCTAACGCGTAAAATTATGATTATAAATTTTTCGCTAATTTTTTTATTTTGTTATTTTTTTACTTTTCTTTATTTTATTTATAAAAAATTGTACAAAATTGAATGGTAATTTAGATGAAATAAATTTACTAACACGATTAATAAATAAAATAAATTAAATAGTTAAATATTATCTAAATTAAATAAATTAAGAATCTCTATTTTTCAAATAAATTCAAATAAATTTAAAAAAAGATTCTCTATTTTTTCTACATTTAAATATATTTCTCGAAGTAAAGTTTGCTTATAAAGTTACAATTATATATAATTATGTCTCTTTAAAAAAAATTTATATATAATATAAATATCAGTGTTTTTTATGTGGAAAATTGCGCGATAGATCCGATGTATCATGTATATCGCTGTAACATATAATTGATGGAGATGTGACGGAAAAAGATGATTGCACTTTCACGATATAAAGACATTAATAGAAATGTCAGTGAGAGGCAAAATCGTAACCGAAGCATCGCTCCAAGGTATATCCATATTGTAGAATTACAGATAAGTACTAAGAGTAGCGTTGAAGTTTTTTTGTCTCGTACGTAGTTGACAAGATTAATTATTAATCGGCAATTAATCCATATATATATAAATCCTATCTTATCATATATATATGTATATAAATCCTATCTAATGTAAATTCAATTGATTAACCGATGTAAGAGTACATTAATGACGTCAGAAAAGTAGATAACAAAGTATATCAGATATCTAGTAATCTGTTTTCAGTAAAAGTTGAGACACTAACGAGATTTGCTGCGCGAGATATTTTACAGATATTTTGCAGACATTTTGTAGATCGAGATCCTCTTTTTTTACGATCAGAATTTTGTCGTAAAATTTAATAGAAAAATATTCACACAATTAATTTGACGAGAAAGAAATTATTATTATTATTTATGTCTATTTGCGTAACGCTACTCTTGGAAAATGCGAACTTTTCAAGATATAGTGGATTCTAACACATTTCTCCGTTTTCTCCCTCGCGATATAGCCTATGGGTATTCTCTCCATCCTTGAGGAAGAGTCTATGTTCCCCAAAGCTACGGATAAGACCTTTGAAGAGAAGCTGAACAACAACCATCTCGGCAAGAGTCCTAATTTCCTGAAACCAAAACCGCCCAAGCCAGGTCAGGTGGCAGCCCACTTTGCGATTGGCCATTATGCCGGCAACGTACGTAATATTCTCTCTTATTTTACTTTATTAAAAAATATTTAATATAAAAAGGGAGATTCACATTATTTTTTAATCTACAAAAATTTTTAAACTCGCCAATCATAATTTCGACTTCGATATTGATAAAATTGAATTTTTTTCGATCCTCAGGTACCATATAACATCACGGGCTGGCTTGAGAAGAACAAGGACCCGCTGAACGACACGGTAGTCGATCAATTCAAGAAGTCTACAAACAAACTACTGATAGAAATCTTCGCTGATCATCCTGGTCAATCCGGTGACGCTGGCGGCGGCGGTGGCGGCAAGGGTGGACGTGGCAAAAAGGGCGGTGGTTTCTCCACCGTATCGTCCTCCTATAGGGAACAGCTGAACAACCTGATGGCCACCCTGCGTGCTACTCAGCCTCACTTTGTCCGTTGCATCATCCCCAACGAGTTGAAGCAGCCCGGTGTAATTGACTCTCACTTGGTCATGCATCAGCTCACTTGTAACGGTGTACTTGAAGGCATTCGTATCTGTCGTAAAGGTTTCCCCAACAGGATGGTGTATCCCGATTTCAAGCTACGGTGAGAATCCCTTTTTTCAATTAATTAAGTTACTTTTGCGGATGATCAAAAAGTCGATGGCTCGAGAAAATAAATAAATCTTTCACATAAGTGTTTAAAATATTAAAATGTCTCCTATATTATATATATGAGTGTTAAAAATAATGATTTAAAATTTCTTTTGTTACATTATAGACATAGTATCTGAAAAATTCTTTAATTTTTTCAATAATTTTAAAATATAATGAATTTTAGAAGATTTGGAAAATAATCCTCAATTTTCTCGAGCACATTTGCAATGATTTCTAATTAAAAAAAAATCTGCTATTTAACTTGACTATTTTTAGTTTATATTAAAAAAACTTAAATTATTGGATTCTTATTTTTTTTATTAAAGAGAGAAAAGAAAGATTAATTTAAATATTATTATATTAGACTTATTATATAATCTTTTTATAAATATAATAGCAGATCTTTTTAAGTCATAAAACAACTTTGTTTAATACTATTATTAGAGAAAATTAAGACTTATATTTAGTAATAATTATTAAATTATATGAAAAGGTAGGTTTCGAGATTTTATGGGGAATTATATTTTAAAACATTCATAGAATTTAAATTTTCTATAATATTATTTCTATAATTTTTTCAATTAATTTCTTTAAAAGCATTGGAAACAGTTATTAAGCATTGAACGGACATAGTAACTGGATTTTTATGTTGTATACCATGTAGTTACATGATCTTAGCACCGGCCACAATGGCGGCCCATAGCGATCCCAAGGTCGCCGCGGCTAAGTGTTTCGAAGAGATCGGTCTCGATCCGGACAGCTATAGAATCGGTAACACCAAGGCTAGTTGATGATAAACCTATAGGAATGAATTTGTCGATTCCGTTATTTGTAGACAATAATCGACCAGAGTCACTCTTTATTCCACAATCAAAGAATGTCTCGAAAATAGACCTTTCCACGTGGATGGTACGAAATTTCTCGCTTTAGAGTCGTCGTAAAAATATTTTTAGCATCTATAAAATAGGTGTAATAAATGATATATTTTTAACTTCATTGATTTCGAAATGATGGCATAAATCTTGCGATAGTTGAAATCAAAAACCGATATAAATCGATTAATAAAATTAATTGTTTTACTTTAAATGTTCAAATTTTTTTTATTATTAATGATAGAAACTATCGCGTTGACAATAAAACTGCATAATAAAAATTGTCATTAATTCAAGATTAATTTTAAACTAGCGAGATTTAAAGACGATCCATGCTGGAATTTTATCTGTTAACTTAGCACGTTGTTTCCCTCATTGAATGCAACGTCATCATCGTGTATGATCGTATTCGAATGCCACCCGATTGATCGTTTAGTTTTTCCTCGTGATTCGTCTCGCAAAATCAGAAAGACTCAGAAAGATTTCCGAATCCGTTGATTTCGTTTAGAACCCGATTAGATAAGAGTATCAATTCCAGTGATGTTGGAAATGGACCTCGAATCCTCCAAAAAATAATTTAGCGATTGGAAAGTAACAAGAGGCGAGATTGGAACGAGAATTATATAAATCTGTGAATATTCGTATCTGGAACCCTTGTATTAATTAGTATGCACGTTTTCCTCCCTCTCTTGCCCCGTGTACTCCGACCATCCCCTATAGGTACAAGATTTTGGCCCCGGCGGCGGTCGACAAGGCGAAGGAGCCCAAGGAAGCGGCCGCGGCCGTTCTGGATTCTACCGGTCTCGACCCTGATATGTACCGTCTTGGACATACCAAGGCACGTTTTCCTCCCTCCTTGCCTGCAGTGATTGCAACGATCATCTCGAAACACGAGTTTGAACGCGATCGACGATCGAGATTTTTATCTCTTAATTTAAATCATTAAAATATCTTGATGATAAATGTGTCATTGATAACCTGGAGATGTAAAAAATCTCGATTACGTCAATCGCAAATAATCGGCATTCATGTTCATCAGTGATGTACTCTTAACTCATGATACGTCAATGCTCCTAGCGACTGGGTAGACGTAAAGATGGCGGCATCTTAAAGCGCGAGAATTCGAGAGAAACACTGTTTTAAGCATCTTGATCTCTTGTAGTATTATCATATTTTTTATAATTAATAATTTGTTAATAATATAATTAATAATTAATAATCTTTTTATAATTAATGAAAATTATTTATCTGAATAATAATCATTTTTCTGTTGAATTTTTAAATTATACATTAAAATTTTGCGAATTCTCGACAGTGAGACTCCTCGAAAAGACTCGCGCTTTAATTCGTCGAAGAGATCGACACCGAGAGAATCTCTTTAATTAAAAAACCTGAAAGGATTCTATTCGTTATCCTTCGCTTCTCGTCCTCCTTCCCCAAAATATATTCTCGATTCTACAGCAACGAGAATTGTAATACAATGAGTCACTAACCTGGCGTGGTGATCTTTTTTTCTGTCTGTTTTTTGTGAACACACACATGACACCATCAATATGTATGACCAAATACATCAAACTGTGATACACTTGACAACGGTGGTCGGCCACGAACGCAGATACAAAATTCTGTGCGCCAATGCCGTCCAAGAGCCTTGCGAACCGCAAAAGGCCACCCAGATCATCTTGGACCAGATCAATCTGGAGAGTGATCAGTACCGCATGGGTCACACCAAGGTATCGGACACCTGTTGTGATCCACGTTGTGACAATAGTGTCATAACGCCAATGCTATCGCAAACTTACGGGCAACACGAACGTCGCAAAGATGCTCACAGGATGTACAGGATATCTTGTGGATGTCTTTTGGACGCTCGTATAATCTGATTCTTACATTGTCGACGATTTATTTGCCAACATTAGAGTACAAGTAGAAAAAGTCAAATATTAAAATTTTTAATATTCAAAAATTGGACACATATTGAAATATTTAAAATAACAATTTTAAAATTGTAAAGAATTTGACAAAGTGATTGACACAGAAATATTTAAATTGTAAAAAATTTGACTAAATTACTTAACTAAAGTTTAAAAGTTAGAATAGAAATGCAAGATTCGGAATTTCTAGAATTCCAGAATATTTTTGATTTATTATTCGTTCTTCTTGTATATTCTTCAATTATACGGACGTTGGCTCTTAATTGTCGCCGATAATTAATTTAATCCTATCCGGCTTCGGCGATTAACCAACTTACAGCCTCGTTCAAGTAATGGCAAATTAATGACGAGCTCTATCATCAATCACGCTAACAAAGGATATCTTTGCCAAAACAATTTTCAGCGTGGTGTAATCCCTCAACAAGTGTGAGGCAATCTCTATCCACTTCCTATTATCGAATAACGACCCTCTTTCTAAGCTAAAACCGGCATGGAAGGCCAGTTTGTGGAAATTAATTAGTACGATGTACCGTGATTATCTCTCTTTCAATAAGATATCATAAATTAAATAAAAATTAAATCATTTATCCATAAGATTATCTACATAAACGTTTGTATAAATTTTTAAATTTTAATTATTTAAATTATCGAAAGAAATCTCCGAAGAAATTTTATTTCTTCTTCTCTTCAAATTGATTAAAAATTTCATTGATTATTACAAATTATGATTATAATCATGGGATTGATAATCGAGGTACATCTCAAAGCGTTATCTTGATGAACGATATCACAATATTTCGCTTTATCTTCGACAAAATAGGTGTTCTTCCGTGCCGGAGTCCTGGGTCAGATGGAGGAACTCCGCGATGAGCGTCTCGGCAAGATTGTGTCTTGGATGCAAGCTTACATCAGAGGTTATTTGTCCCGTAAAGATTACAAGAAGCTCCAAGAGCAACGCCTCGCTCTCCAGGTCGTCCAGAGAAATCTAAGGAAGTACCTCCAACTCCGCACTTGGCCATGGTACAAGTTGTGGCAGAAGATCAAACCTCTTCTCAATGTCACTCGCATCGAGGACGAAATGGCTGTAAGTATCTCTTCAAGTATCTTTTATAAATAAATATATATAAATTCGGATTAAAGAAAATTATTATTAAGACATTGAGTCTTTTTGATCTCTTGTTTTATTCAATTTTTTACAATTTTTTTATTGTTATGTCTCTTTGATTCTATTTTTATTTATTTGGCTAAAAAAGATTGAATTTTATTTGTTTTTTATTTAAAAAAGAATAGAAATTTTTGAAATATATTGTAAAAGAAAGTTGTTAATTTAATTTAATTCTAGAAGAATCGAAAAATGTCTCTCTTTCTCTTTCGTAGAGAGTTTTTTAAAATTGTTTATAGAATTAGTTACATTTTTGATAAATTTGATATATCAGAGATATATTTCGTCAACAGATATAATTATCATTTCATAATTTTAAGTTGTAAGGCAGTAAAATAATAAGTAAGATACTCGATCAGCACTCAACGGATTGATTAGGAGAATAAATTTTAATATTTCCTTATACATGTTTCGTTAATAAGCAAATTAGATAATTTGTATATTTTCTCTCATTCTCAGCTTTTATAATATTTATTTTATTTTAATTTTATTTTTCATATATATAATTTTCAGTTTATACTATTCGAGTTATATCATTTATATTATTTATATATTATTTACGATCTTTAGCTTGATTTAATTTATTTTAACTTGATTTTAACTGGTTTTTTAAGCATATAATATATAAAGAGTTTTTGAATATTTTGTATATTTTAAGTGAATTTTACGAATTATAAACTTTTACCCTCAAATTATGTAATTTTTATTATATTTTTAAATTATTCAAATTTTTTTAGTAGAGAAATAATAAATTGTTAATGATTGTTAACATGCACTACTTCAGAGAAAGTATTGCAAAAGAGAAACATTCGTTCTGCGAAAATCGATAATTCGCTGAAGGTTGCGAGAGCTTGGCAAAATAAAGCTTCGACTTGACGGTGATTTACAGCCGGAGTTTCGTGCTTAACTGTGCCATCTTGTGCTCGAAATCGTCCGTGGAATTTGTTTCTTCTTTTGCTCGGATCATAACGGCTCCAGTTTCCAGACGTGCACGTTTATTTATCCGCCGCCTGGTCTTCCCGTTTTCGCAGTTTGCCTTCTCGCGCAAACTCACGATCAGCTTCAAGTCAGTTTCTTCGAAATCGAATTATTTCCACGTACTTATTTTTTTGCTCTCGTAATACTTTCGTAATACTTTAATGTTAGATTTATAACACGCACATTTTTCCTTTAGATTTTTTAAATTTACATTTATAAAATACAAGATATTTGCCTCCTCTTTATTTATTTATTTATTTTATTTTATTCCTCTTTATTTCTTTATTTATTTTATTTCTTTCTCTTTATTTATTAGACTTAATTAAAAGAAAAATATATAAATAATTATATATGTATATATATTAGAATTTTTATTTATTAACTCTAATATACTCTGTTGTTTTTTCAAGTTTTAATTTTCTCAAAAATATATATGTCTTATTAAAAAGATTAATTCTGTTAAATTCTTTTTGGTAATTTAATTTTTGACCTTTTAAAACTTTCTATATTTATCTTATAATTTAAAAAATTCTTTTCGCTCTCAATCTTCAAAAATCTGTAAAGAAACTTCTTTCAAGCCACTTTTTATCGATACTTCTAATTTTGTCAACCTTCTGACTTTCTTCTCCCTCTTCTTCTGCGCTACCAAACTGTCTTTATATTTTTAACTCTATAATCCCGAATTAACGAGAAAATTAGAGGAATCCGTGTACGTTTTCGTTCTCCAGTTTAGTTCACTGATACCACTAAGATCCCGAATTAGAAGCATAATAAAGACTACCAAGGCGGTGAATCAACGTTCGATCATGTTACCGGAGCGGCTTCTTATTAATAGACACGTCTCTTCCGAAAAGAATTATACAATTATTCGTCCTTCAGAGGCCGAATCCAGGATACATGGATTTTCGCATTTTTAAAATTGAACTTTGTCTTCTCTGGAATGCTGTCTAATTTTGTCTAAATGTGCATTCACTCTTATATCTCCACAGATATATATTTCAATGCCGATTCCTTTCCCTAAAATTGAATCTGAAGTCATCAGTATAAAATCAAATCCAGTATTTCGCTTAATATTTTGTTAAATAATTTCTGTGACAAATTTATTATCGAAAGACTCTTTATTCCTGTTTTTTCTTCTTTCTTATTTTTGGAACTTTACATATAAAGACGATTAAATATAATTTTATTAATTTAATTTAATTTTTAAATTTTAATTTAAATTTTTAATTTTAATTTAATTTTTTAATTTTACATTTTTCATATATAATATTTTATAACGAAATTCTCGTCATAATTATATTTTTTTGAAAATAATTTTTTTTGTTTCTAGAAACATATATATTTGAATCTAAATAAGATGATGTACATATTTCGCGACAAATTTGAAACACGTTATTACAGACTCAAAGGATTTTTCAATTAAAAGTGCGCTCGAATCTACCTTTGGACTTTGTTCACATTCGGTCTCTTGGTGATCCACTTATCCACTTTGCACCTTCTGGAGCCGCCAAAAAGGGGGTGGTCGCTGGACAGAGAGCGCGGCGGTCCTTTCAGATCGCTTCTAATTCTGTCCAAGACTGGTCCCCTTCTCGACCTAACTTGCTCTCTTCCCCTCTCCCACAGGGGTGGTATAACGGATCGGTTATAAATATTTTTACGCGTTGTGTGCGTGTGCGAGGCGCCACTGGAGTGGGGACGCCCACGATCAGGATCGTCGCTCTATTCGCTCCTTACTGGCCGCCGGAAACGGTTACGGTAGAGGGACACGGGTAGAAAAGTTGGGCTTCGACCGATGCCGGGACCAGTTGGACCCGCGACCTCGCGCCGACCCCTTCGAAATTACGCGAAATCCGTCCGACGACGAACAAAGAGGGAGAAGCCTCACCCTCTCGCACGCCCCACATTTATATTCAACGTTGTACCTAACGCACAGGTGTCCGGGTCTTTCTCGATACCTCGAGATACGAAAGTAGAGACTCGCATCCGAGTCTCGCGCACTGTTTTTCCTTTCGTCTATTCGAGCGATCGAGTCTTCGCATCAGTCGAGGCTTCTCACGACGTTCAATCGATCGATTATTCTCGGGGATTCTTCTCGCGCGACGAAGATCCCTCTCTTTTCCCGTTCTGTTCACGTACCCCCGAAAATACAAGAGTCGAAATCGAGTGTAATATACTTTAATCGCGTGTGCATTCCTCGCTTAATTTTTCCAAGAGTGATCGATTATGGGCGACACGGTGCTGATCGAGAATCCTAGTCCGCTGGTGAACGCAGGCGGAAAATTCGAAGATAATATGGCCTCGTTACAGGCGTTGGAGGAGAAAGCCAAGAAGGCGCAGGAAGCTTTCGAGAAGGAAGAGAAGCTGCGCAAGGAGCTAGAGGAGCTGAACGCCAAGCTTGTCACCGAGAAAACCAACTTGCTGCGCCAGCTGGAGGGTGAGAAGGGCTCGCTTACCGATTTTCAGGAAAAATCCTTGAAATTGGCTGCACAGAAAGCCGACCTTGAATCACAACTCCAGGTAAGAATAATTTTTTTGTATTGTTTTTTTAACGAAAATTTAAAACGAAAAGAATTATTATTTATTTTAGCTATTTTTTGAAGAATTTGTCATTATTAAGATTTATTAACCTTCGTAAACTGAAAAATGTTTTCTAAAATTAACTATCTAAAGTTTTCTATAATTATTAATTATATTGCTAAATTATTTTAGCTATATTGGAAATTTGAAAATCGTATTAATTAAAATTGTACAGATTTGATAAAATTTTGTGATCTGTATTAATATAATAAAAAATAAAAAAATATATTTTAAAATAATGTGATAGGGTCTTTAAAGGTATAAAATTTCTTTACTATAATATTTTCAATTTTTGTAACTGATTATCATAAAATACATAAAAAACAAAAATAAAATTTTTGCTATTTTATTTCGTATAAAAAAAAATATTATTGATATAAACATAACAATTATAATATCCATGTTTTTATCACTATTAATAATTGTATATATTAATAATTGTATATATAATTATTATATATAATTATATGGAATAAAATAAGATTCTATGGAAAAGTCTATTGTCAAGAATAACAAAAAATGGTGTAGTTATAGACATTGTTTTCGATTTTACTAGCGTAAACTATAAGTTAGTTAAGTGGGAAGGGCAGAAAATAATATAATTAGCGGCTTAATTAGCACAGTGGGGCAAGCCGCGAGTAAATTAATACCGAAGGGCGAAAAGCATCATATAATTAGCAACATCGCATATAGATGACTATAATTCATTCAATTGCATCTGTTAAATTATACTCGATTAATAAATTTTAAATTAAAATATCAAATAGTAATGTTGATGATGGCATTAAATAAAGTATAACATTAATAAAAAGAGGAACTTTATAAGGAGAAGAATTAATAATTATCTTCACAATATTTTCGGATGACAAATATATTAAAAGAAAAACTTGATTAAGAAAAAAACTCGTTTATCCTCATTATTGGAATTTCTTCACGTTGCATTAAATTACCACTAGTAAATCTCTCCGAGGACGAAGGAGGAGCGGGAGAGACTTTTTCAGAAGAACGCGGTTTAAATCGGGATGCCATTAATTGTCAGGAGGGAGGGAGTGTTTTCGTGATTTAAATCGGCTCGAATTACGGCTTCGCAGGCGCGCAAAGTAGCGCGACAAAGTAGAGGAGGCGCGGAATTAGTCAGACGCGCTATTTTTCTTCCTGCGAGCAACGCGGACGCGTCATCCGGTTACGCGGACGACGCTTATATTCGGTCATATCGAGGCTGCTAAAATTACGATAAACGTACGTGAGTGTTTACACGATTTTATTGCATCTTTCCATGATTCAACATTGCGCACGAACGACACTTTCACGAAATTTCAGCAAACGCGAATCTTCGGTGGCTAACATTTTTAATTTCCTCCAAAATAAGGGGATTTATAATGAACAATAAATCGCGTATGACAAATTTTTTTAATTTTTTAAAAGCTTTTTTTATATAAAAATATTAGTCTTTGGAAAATTGCCCAGGAAATTAGCAGTGCAATTTTGACAATCATATGATTATTAACGAGAATTATTTTTTTATTCTTTGTACTTTTTTACGCATATCATGAAATTAATCTGCAATCTTAAATATCCTAATAATTAGAGCTCGATTTCTAAATAATTTATGATTATTTTGGGATCGGCTTCCCGGGAATTTTCTCGAGTTACGCGATAATTTTGTATTTTCCACGTTGTAAACATGTTGGAGGAAGTTGAGAGAACGTCGAAATTCTGGACGATCGCGTCGGAACGGCGTGGAAACACAGTATTTTTATCCGATAGTTAGAACTCATACAAACGCGTGCTGGAGAAGAGGTCATAATTTCTTGAAGGCGTCGCTCGCAGAAAATAGACGAGTCGTGATCGTGACTAGAAGAAGAGATTTTCTCTCTCTTTCTCTGTCTCGCTCTTTCTCTCCAGCCGGATTCCAGGCTGACTATTTTTAACGATGCCACTTAAACATTCACTTAAGACTCGCCCCGTCATCGCCTGTCATCGCAACATCCTCCAACGCCCGTCATCGGTTCGTAACATCTATCGTACATCGTTCTCCAACGAGCAATTTAACACTCTATTCCAATAAAATTAGATAAAATTAAAAAAACCGACGATATATAAAGATACAAGAAAATATTTTAAAGCCAATAAACGAAAAATATTAAATAAGAAATGTGAATTATTTGCAGATCAAGATACAAGATACATGTATAGAAATATAAAAGCGGTATAATTGCAATGATTATTAAATTATATTAGGCTTGATTATGCCATAAATTATTAAAAAATCATAATCTATTTTTCTGATTCTTCTGAATATATTTTAAGTATTCTTTATCATTTATTTATTTTTAATATTGATTTATTTAATTGCCATCTACCTAATATTTAATTTATTTTTATTAATGTGTTAATTTATTTTTATTATCATTACGAATGCTTTAAATGTGACTTTCGTTTCTCCGATTCGCCTCTAATTCTATCAAATTACCACAACTGTCAAGAGCGGCTGCTTCACTTCGTTAAGCGATTTAATATCGCGAACGCGTGGCACCTATTAAAAGCTCGCGCATCGAGTTCATCGCGATTGACCTGGTCGATGTCGAGAAAGAGAGAGAGAGAGAGAGATCCTCTCGCGATCATAAGAGGCGGAAGGCTACGGCCGCGTTATGTTCGACACCATTTACGGTTAGGGCGATGCAGGAAGAAGGAAGAGGGGAAAAGAACGGAGGGGGGGAGGGCACGTGCAGCAAATTTAGCAGATCCCAAATTCCAGGTTATTAAAAGTGGGCGGCGGCTTTAAGAACACGCTGGAGAGAGAGGAGACGAGTAAGAAAACGAAGGAGGTAACAGGTGTACAGTGTATTTATACGCGTGCGTCATAATCATGCAGCCGTATCTCCTTCGCTGCTCGTGATCTCTTCATCATCGTCGACGAGGTTCATGTCATCCCCGTCAATTTTTCCATCTCGCCCTCCACGTGGTCGGTGTGTTGCATCAGATTGAGGAGACAATCTTAGAAGAGATCTTCTTCTCCGCGAATCTCTTGTTTTGCCGGATTTATCGATCGATTAATTAATGATCTTTTCTCTTTCTCTCCCTCGAAATATATATTTTAATTTTTTTTCTGAATATCGATTGACACAATATTGTTTATACAGCCTTTTTTCCATTTCTTATTCGGATTTTTTAATTAAATTTTTTTAAATTAAATTTGTAAGAAACTTGCGAGAAATACCAAATATTTTTCTCGACGAATTTAGACTGGTCCCGTCGAATCAGCGAACGAAATGAACGATGAAGCGATAAGCGCGATGAACGAGGAGATTGATCGCATCGCGTCGGTCGGACAAGACATCGTGCCAATATTCTTTGCCCCCGCATTAACTAATATTAGGCGTTCGTATGTGTGCAAGCCCTGCAATTGCACGTCATTGCCAATTAATCTGCGAACCCGTGAAGCGAGGTAGAGAGATGCGTTCAACATTCTTGATGAAGGGGACTTGGCGCGCTTCAAAGGGTATTCCAGCGAGATAAATCTTACTCATAAATCTGTCATCGACCTAAATACTTCGTCTGCAAAAAGAATCTTGAGATTATGTCATCTTGAAAAAATAAGTTAAGATGTGACATTCGCTGAGAGTTATATTTTTAAAGACATATCACACATACATCTGTAATAATGATAAAATTAAAATGCAAAGAAATTAATAAAATGAAACATTAATGAAATATTAATAAATAAGATGAGATGATAAAGTGTAAAAAGGAATAATATTAAGAAAGGAATAAAGTAGAGAAATAACGTAGAGTATTAAATAATAAAAGATGGGTGTAAAATATTAAAAATTATATATATGAATATAAAATGGGGTATTTATAAAATAAATAAAGTCGAATATCAAGAAAAAATAATTAAAAATTTTAACTATGATTGTACACTCGATAATAATTAGTATACTTGAACATAATATTTCAAGAAATATTGCCAATTATGCTTATCTGGATATTTTTCATTCGCATAGGATCTCAACGACAGATTCAAAGAAGAGGAGGATTCGAGAAACAATCTCTTCCAGAACAAGAAGAAACTCGAACAGGAAGTATCCGGTTTGAAGAAAGATATTGAGGATCTCGAGCTAAATCTGCAAAAGTCCGAACAAGACAAAGCAACGAAAGATCACCAGATCAGGAATCTAAACGATGAAATCGCTCACCAGGACGAGCTCATCAACAAGCTCAACAAAGAGAAGAAGAACCAGGGCGAAGTTAATCAGAAGACCGCCGAAGAGCTCCAGGCCGCCGAGGACAAAGTCAATCATCTCAACAAAGTCAAGCTCAAACTCGAACAGACTCTTGACGAACTCGAGGACTCCCTCGAACGTGAAAAGAAATCACGGTAAGCAATAATTCTATGCATTTGATGATTGAAAATCTCTTTATAAGACATCTGAGAATCACTATAAATTTGTTTTAAATTTTTGATTAATTATTTCTTAAAGAACATTTCATTAACAATCTGTTTCTTTTGCTCACACTTGTAAAATTAATTTTAACACAACAATATAATATAAAAAGACCAAAAAAAAATCCAAAAAAAAGTAGGATAAATTTGATAACAAGAATATTGATGTAATTTCTGAAAATTTTATATAGTGCCGACGTTGAGAAGGCAAAGAGGAAAGTGGAAGGTGATTTGAAACTCACACAAGAAGCCGTTGCCGATCTCGAGAGAAACAAGAAGGAACTCGAACAGACTATCCAACGCAAAGACAAGGAACTCTCATCCTTGACTGCCAAGCTCGAGGACGAACAATCCCTTGTCGGCAAACTGCAGAAGCAGATCAAGGAACTGCAGGCTCGAATTGAAGAACTTGAGGAAGAGGTATGACAAGAAAAATGTAATCTAAAGTCATCCAATTTTGAAAAAAAAAGACGAAAAAAAAAATTTTAATCTACTAAGTTTTTTTAAGTTTACATGTTTTAATTACTCTTGAAAAATTTTATTAAAATGAACATTGCCTGCTTTATTAAATTTTTAATTCTTGTAAATTTAAAAAGAAATTAAATTTTGTGTATAAAATTAAAACAATTGAAAATTATAGAGAAAATTATTCTTAATAAAAAATTTTGAAATTAATTATAAGGAATTGGTTAAAAAAATAAATCAGATTTTTATTTTTGTCTCTTGTATGATGACTTGTATATCACTATCATCGCAACTATAGAAGTATATAACAATGTCTGTCCATTTTCCTCTTCAAGATCGAGGCAGAACGCGGCGGGCGAGCCAAGGCCGAGAAGCAGCGCAGCGATCTTGCTCGCGAGCTCGAGGAACTTGGCGAACGCCTGGAGGAGGCTGGCGGTGCCACTTCCGCTCAGATCGAGCTGAACAAGAAGCGCGAAGCCGAGCTGAGCAAGCTCCGCAGGGATCTCGAGGAGGCCAACATCCAGCATGAATCCTCGCTGGCTATTCTGCGCAAGAAGCACAACGACGCTGTCACCGAGATGGGCGAACAGATTGACACCCTCAACAAGCTTAAAGCTAGGTGAGTTTGCCAGACTTTGATCCTTTTTCTCGATGGAGAGAAATAATAGAATTTTTGAAAATTTTTTATCTTCATTTTTTTATCTTCATCAATCAATATCAATTTTAATCCTTTTTCTTTTTCGAAACTTTTTTATCTTTAATGTTTTTTCTAAATTTGAAATTGATGAAGAGAAATTGGGGATAAATTTGGTTATATTAATTAGAATTTAAAGATTTTCAAGTTTTTTCACTCAATAAATAATATTGCAAATTTAGGATGTTTTCATTGAGAGAAACTTATGCCATAAGGCGTAAAGATTAGGGGAGATCGATGATTAGATCAGTTTTCAAGTTTCAATTTTTTGACATCGACAACTATTAGATTTTCGAAGAAAATAAAAGTGTGAAGGCAACGGGAGACTTTAACGCAATATTTGCGATAGAGCCGAAAAGGGTCGACACGACATCCACGCCGAGTTGAACGGTTCGCGCGCTCTCACGGATCAAGTTTCGCGAGAGAAGGTATTTGAAAATACAAAAGAGATATGTCGAAGAGTGTTCCTCGTGCATCTTGTTGACTTTCCAGACGTAATCTCGGACTTCCTGTATATGTCCCTCGATAATTCTCTCGATTTGTAAAACACATGTGATTATCAGAATGGAATGATATATTTTGGAAAGACATTGCCTTGTTGCCCAAATTGTCTTGTTGTGTCGAATGCTGGATTAAATTCCATTGTCTATTAAAACACATGCAAAAATATATTAAATTTCAAATAAGAATATTTAAAAGGAATAAATAATATTTTAAAAAAACAAATAAATTATGAATATTAATTCATAATTTTTTTACTTTTTAAATTAGACAAAAATATTGTCAAAAATTGCAGATAATTACAAATAAATATACGCACTTATGATAGTAGTAGTTAATTTCTTGGATTGAATTAATATTTTCAAATTTTCAATCTTAGTTTATTAATTAAATTGGAATTTTTTAATTTTATAATAATTAAATTTTTTAATTTTGCAATCTATTACTTATGTTGCGAAAATAACAGCGAATTGCGATGGGATAATTTAATCTGGTATTCCGGAATGCAAATCAAAAATAATTCGCGTCATTGTCATTCATTTGTTGATCCCTTCAATTGTTTCCGTATCGATTGTCAGGGTTGAGAAGGAGAAGGTTCAATACTACAGCGAATGCAACGACTTGCGCACGTCTTGCGACCACTTGAGTAACGAGAAGGTAAGCCCTCGGGCTCGACTTCGATAATAATATCCGGATTAACGCGACTAACAGCTTCCGCTAGGTGCAGAGACGCAGCCCCACGACAATCTCAAAAGATCTATGTGGATCTACCTATTTTTCCCAAAATCACTCATGAACCATTTATCCGACACGTGAGTCGATAGTTCCCGCTTGCTCAGCATCGCTTGCGAATATGTGTGTAAACGATACGAGCTTGCCTTTTGCGTCTTATTCATTGTATTATTATATCATGGTTGAAAAATTAAAATAAGCAGTGGTTCTTTTGCCTTTTTATTGTATTCTATTGATTGCTTTCTACAAACCACTATTATTACTTTCATCTTTTAAAATAAGTAGTTTTCGAAAAGACAGCTTTCTGTCATATTTATTTTATTTTAATTTATTTTTTATACTAATAAAAATTGACAGATTAAACAGATGAAATTAAACAGACTAGACTTTTTTCTTTATACAAAAATTTCAAAAAAAATTACCTTTGTAACTTCAATAATCAGGACACTATCTAAAGGCGAGCTCGATATAAAAGATTCCGGCGATAGATCGAACACTAAAATTTTCTTCTTCGAAATCCAGGCTGCTCAAGAGAAGATTGTCAAGCAGCTGCAACATCAGCTGAACGAGACCCAAGGTAAGCTTGAGGAAGTGAACCGCACTTTGAACGACTTCGACGCCGCGAAGAAGAAACTGTCCATCGAGAACAGCGATCTGCTACGCCAACTGGAGGAGGCCGAATCTCAAGTCAGCCAACTGTCGAAGATCAAAATCTCACTTACCACGCAATTGGAGGATACGAAGAGGCTCGCGGATGAGGAGTCGCGCGAGCGCGCCACTTTGCTCGGCAAGTTCCGCAACTTGGAGCACGATCTGGACAACATCCGCGAGCAGGTTGAGGAGGAGGCTGAGGGCAAGGCTGATCTTCAGCGTCAACTCAGCAAGGCTAATGCTGAGGCGCAACTGTGGCGCACCAAATACGAATCCGAGGGCGTCGCCCGGGCTGAAGAGCTCGAAGAGGCAAAGAGGAAGCTGCAAGCCAGACTTGCCGAGGCTGAGGAGACGATTGAGTCTCTCAATCAGAAGGTCATCGCTCTGGAGAAGACTAAGCAACGGCTGTCCACAGAAGTGGAGGACTTGCAGATCGAAGTGGACCGCGCTACTGCCATCGCAAACGCCGCCGAGAAGAAGCAGAAGGCCTTTGACAAGATCATCAGCGAATGGAAGCTCAAGGTCGACGATCTCGCTGCCGAGCTCGACGCCAGCCAGAAGGAATGTCGCAACTACAGCACCGAGCTCTTCAGGCTCAGAGGTGAGAGGAATCGGAGAAATTCGATTTTATTGATTTCAAACTTGTCTAGATAAAAATATGCGAAAGATAAAATATAAAAAAGTATAAATTTGATTAATTTGCTAAAATTAAAATTCAAAAAAGTCTTCTGTCAAGTAACAACTTCTATCAAATTGCTTTCAAAATAAATTAAATTTTCTTAATAATGCATTTTTTTAAACTATTAGTATTTTATACTATTTATTAATATTTTATGCTATTTATCACAAAATTGTCGATTGTTTAGGTGCCTACGAGGAAGGTCAAGAACAGTTGGAAGCAGTACGTCGCGAGAACAAGAATCTCGCCGACGAGGTGAAAGACCTGTTGGACCAGATCGGCGAAGGTGGTCGCAACATTCACGAAATCGAGAAGGCCAGGAAGCGCCTGGAGGCTGAGAAGGATGAGCTTCAAGCCGCTCTCGAGGAAGCCGAAGCCGCCCTCGAACAAGAGGAGAACAAAGTGCTGCGCAGCCAGCTCGAGCTCAGCCAGGTCAGACAGGAAATCGATCGCCGCATCCAGGAGAAGGAGGAGGAATTCGAGAACACCAGGAAGAATCATCAACGCGCCCTCGACTCCATGCAAGCTTCCCTCGAAGCAGAAGCCAAGGTCAGCCATGCTTTTTCAGTGTTATTCTCACGCTCTTATAAAATAATGATATAGAAACAATGAATCAAAAAAACACTCTAATCTTACAATAAAATTCAATCCTTAGGGCAAAGCTGAGGCGCTGCGCATGAAGAAGAAGCTGGAGGCGGACATCAACGAGCTAGAGATCGCGTTGGATCATGCCAACAAGGCGAACGCCGAGGCCCAAAAGAACATCAAGCGATACCAGCAGCAGCTCAAGGACGTGCAGACCGCGCTTGAAGAGGAACAGAGAGCGCGCGATGAAGCTCGGGAGCTCCTCGGCATCTCGGAACGTCGCGCCAATGCCCTGCAGAACGAACTTGAGGAGAGTCGCACTCTTCTTGAACAAGCTGACCGCGGTCGCCGCCAGGCCGAACAAGAGCTCGCCGACTGTCACGAACAGCTGAACGAACTGAGCGCCCAGAACGCTTCCATTTCCGGCGCCAAGAGGAAACTCGAGGCCGAACTGCAGACTCTCCACGTGAGTGTTTATTCTACAATAATTTAATATTTTTTTTCGAAGAAATACAAAGTTGCACATTTATACATCTCTTTTCATCAGTCCGATCTGGATGAACTGCTGAACGAGGCGAAGAACTCGGAGGAGAAGGCGAAGAAGGCGATGGTGGATGCGGCCAGATTGGCAGACGAGCTACGCGCCGAGCAGGATCACGCTCAGACCCAAGAGAAGCTGCGCAAGGCCCTAGAGACGCAGATCAAGGAACTGCAAGTGCGCCTGGACGAGGCCGAGGCAAACGCTCTCAAGGGCGGCAAGAAGGCCATCCAGAAGCTGGAGCAACGTGTGCGCGAGCTGGAGAACGAGCTCGATGGCGAGCAAAGGAGACACGCCGACGCCCAGAAGAATCTGCGCAAGTCCGAGCGCCGTATCAAGGAGTTGAGCTTCCAGGTAAAATCCCATCTATAAATATCACATTCGTGCATTAATATTTTTAATATAATTAAAGAGATAGTTTTTTTAAATAGATTGTGTTCTTTTGTAGTCATATATGTGATTGAATTAATATTTTATAATCAGAAGATTCTTTAAATATTTTATTCTTACTATTAAATCATTAATTTTGTTAACTATATTTTAATATTATTTAATTATTAACTTTTATTAATTTTCTTGATATTATGTTATTAGTTGAAATTCTCACTCGCAATTAAGTAAAGAGTTTGTTTAAAGAGTGTTATTTTCGTTTCCAGGCGGACGAGGACCGTAAGAATCACGAACGCATGCAGGATCTGGTTGACAAGCTCCAGCAGAAGATTAAGACGTACAAGAGGCAGATCGAGGAGGCCGAGGAGATCGCCGCGTTGAATCTTGCCAAGTTCCGTAAGGCACAGCAAGAGCTGGAGGAAGCCGAGGAAAGGGCGGATCTTGCCGAACAAGCTATTACCAAGTTCCGCACCAAGGGACGCGGTGGAAGCTCCGCGCGCGGACTCAGCCCAGTGGTAAGCTATTAGACCTCTCTATCGTCATCGTGGAATTTGAACTCTCAATATCGAAATGCAACATACATCTTTTCTTTTTTTTTTTTTTAATCGAATAGCATTTGATTTTAATTTTAGCAATAATATTTCGAAAAATATTTGAGAAAGCACTTAAATTTTGTTTTATTTGAAATCAACATATTTTAAAATTTTAATTATAAATCTTGCGGTTTTATTCGAGCGATTTTTTGCCAATATTACAATTTCTCAGATATACAGGGTGTTTCTAAAATGATTATTTATTTTGTGAAATAATAGAATAAATTCTAAAAAAATTAAAATAAAAAATTAGCTCAAATAATAATAATTAAAAATTAATTAAAAACAATAGAAATAATAGAATAAATTATGAAGAATAAAAATAAAAAATTGGCCCAAATAATAATAATTAAAAAAATTGATTGACAATTTTTAATCAGTTTTTAATAATTATAAATAAACTGTTAGCAGTGTATAACAATTTTTTAAAATACATTTAATTTTGCCAAAATTGTAGATAATCACTTTAGGAACATCCTGCATATCACATTTTATCGAATTGAAAATCGCATCAGGCTTTAATTAATTGTAAGCATTATGATAAAGATAAAAAGTAAATCGTATCTGGTGAAAATCGTTAGAATCGGTCGCGCGTTCGGGAAGTCGAATATGTAAAATCGCAAACCTCGTTCAAAGATTGAAATAAGAAAGTGCGCTACACTCTCGAGGTCGATTGATGTCTAATTAGCGATCTCTGTATTCCTGTGTGCAGCCGCAACAGAAACGTAAGGCGGCGCCCGCATTGGAGTAAATGCACACACGTCGCGCTTGGTCCATGTAAGTCCGTGCACGTGTCGTGAGGCGCGTGTATGAGCGTGTGTGTGAGACGATAATCTTCTAGACACAGAGAAATAGATAGAGCAGATTAGAAAAGAGAATGGGTCAGGAGTTCACGAAACGCGAGAGGAACACGCGACTCCCCCTTTATCCCCCCTGCATCCATCAAGTGTCGCATTTGCACCTGTTTGTCCAATAATACTCTCACGAATGGATACGAGTTTGTTCTTCGTCATTAACTCTGTGTATCGCATCTCCTCGAGCCTTCTCTCTTATACTTGTAGATACTGCGAATTAGTAAGCGTCAGTTAGAGCAATTTTCTCGAGTTTTATCAATACTCTATCATGATTGGAACCGGGAATTATTTCAACAGATACAATCTTGAGTCGCGATAGAAAAGTGACTTTTAAATGCCAATATATAAGAGAAAAAAATATTCTTGATTAATTATTTATTGAGCCTATTTATAAAATTGATAATTAAAAAGAGAGAGAGAGAGAGGAGTTGAATAAATAATTTTAAAAATATAAATTCTTCAACCTATGAATTATTCTTGAATTATTTTTTTGAACGTATATTGAATGCTTTTTCAGTTGATTTTTAATATGGCATAAAATTATTACACCGGTTTCAATCTCTCGCCTAGTAGTGTCTTAGTGCATCTTAGTCCATCTTTTACACTTCTTTGTGATCCAGCGTAGGAATTAGTCGCGAAATTTCAGAAGGATGATTTTCTTCGGAATCCCCGAGGAATATTATATATATTCCTCCATCTTACTCTCCTTTCTCAAGTCAAAGTATGCCGATTATTTTTGTATATTCGTCTCCCCTTCTTCGAAGTTTATTTAATTTTCTTTTATCTAGATATGATGTTTATTCTGATTTGAGAGAGAGAGAGAGAGAATAAAGCTCTCGTTTATTTTATTTTCTTTCAAAAGATTTCTTCCTTTTTCTCATCGATATACACACTGTTATCGTCACTGTTGATTTTTGCTTTTAACAGTTCAGACTTAACAAGAACTGCAACTATAAATCGTGATTTTCCGCAAAGAGTTGTAACTAATATCACGAGAGAGTTACATGTCTGAAATAAATTCCCTCTCTCTGTAAAAATACGCCAGACATGGTGTTGTTGGCAAAACATAGAGGTGTCACGACCCTCGTTACGTCATTCCATTGACGCATTCGGGTGCAAATGATAAGAAACAAGAAAAGTTGGATTACGAGCAGGAACGACACAGAGAACGTGTCACTCGTCCCTACCCTCTTTAAACTCCGTATCAATGTTGTCTACACAAATCCGTGAAGAATTTTATATATTTTTATATTTGTTTTATATATTTTTATATCTGTCAAAACCTGCAAATACTTCCCTGCATATTTATAGTTATTTATAGTAATAAGAGATTAAAGTTTCACGTGTCTGTCTTCTTTCAGCCACATCGGCCTGCGTTCAAACCCCTATTAGATGGTTCCGCATTCCCGCCACGCTTCGACCTGCAGCCCGATGGTGAACTGTAAAGATCCTTCCGAGGAATTCGCTCAGATAATTATAAACCGACAAAAAGAAAAAAAAGAATAAAAATGTTAACAACAGAAAACTCAAACATCTGAAGAATAAAAAGGAGGGTAAGAGAAGGAGAAGGAACATCATCGTCCTCATCGAGTCCGAACGAAGACACGAATACATACAACGAATCCGAGAGCTCGCTCGGAGCTCTCAACGGCATCGTCGTCTCGCAATCGAGCGTTCGATCGATCATCACAAATTCGCGTTGTCTTTCTCGACAATAAAATTTCTTATAAAATTAATGCTCGCTCGAGAAGATCGAAGGAAAAGATGGGGACGCGGGAGAGGGTGCGTGTTGCTTCACTATGCGAGCTGACGGTCGAGGGAAAGAGAGAGAGAGAGAGAGAGAGAGAGAGAGAAAGAGAGAGAGAGTGGAAGAGCAAGAGATATCGAGCGAGCGGACGATGAGAGGGCGAGAGCCAGCGAGAGATATATTAATATTTACGTATTACACATACACACACATACACACAGAAAAATAAAGGGGAAAAATAATAACAGAGCGATAAATATACATATAAACATTACACCCTCGCGAGATGCACAGCAAGCAAAAGTGTTGAACGTAAATGAGAAAAATTAAAAAAAAAATAATACATACATATATATACATATATATACTCGCGAGAAGAAACGCGAACGAGTCGCGAAAAACGTTCAATAGCGCGTATCATTACATGTGTCATCCAAATGATGTCGTATCCTATAAACTTAATTGTAATTTATAAAGAGAGACGAAGTATGTATTTATTAAAGTAAATAAGCAATAAATAAAGATAAGAATTAAATCACCTCGCTTATATATGTTAGATTACTCGATCGTGAAAATGGAAATCAACAGAGATAAGAATTCGTTGCGCATTATTTTATTAATGTAAGGGGATTGTTTAATGTCAATCTAATTGTCAAGTTAATATTTCGTATAATATAAAAAATTTACAGCAATATACAATTGTGAAGTAATCGTAAAAAATTATCTCTTATCTTAACAAATATCTTCTCTTAAATTTTTTTGTTTTACGGAATAAAAAGGTCTTTATTTATTAGAGTTTAAAATTTATGTTATATTTAAAATTAATTTGAAAAAATTTTTTATCAAAATCTTTTATCAACTTAAGCTATTTTCGAAAAATTTAACTTTAGTCTATTCAACTTGCTATTATTCACAACTAGATGTTTACATCAAAAACTATATGCAACCTTGTATAATAAATTTCAAGTTGAGAGATTTGCAATCGAATGAAATCTCTCGCATTGAAGATAATTATCTGAAATTCTTTTTCACTTCGGTTCGCGAGAGTTGCCTGAATTGTCCCTTCAGGAGTTCCCATTGCGTCCATTTGTCCGAACTGACGCCAAATTCCTTGCATGTCTGCAAGAAAGCAGGCACGCATAATGATAGGTAGTAATGATCCACAGTGGGTAGCAGATGATGCAGAGTGTGCGAACCAAAGTGCGTAAGCGCCAGGAAGATCGAGTCATCGATCACCTCACGATCACGCACCGCGTCCACCTCGAGCAGACCCCAGTCCAGATCGTTCCTTGAAAATATTAGGAAAATGATAATTAGAAAAATTACCTTATTATATCCTTTGGAATATGTAAGGAAAAGATACTAAAATCATTTTGCTATTTAAAAAATTATTATGAGATTATATTAGAATTTATAAAGTTAAAAGTGGAATTATATAAAACGTCAAAATTAAAATTAAAATTTTTTAAATTAAAACTAAATCAATGTAATAAAGTATGAAAAATAGAATAAAAAAACTTATTCATACTACTAATTATTTATAATGAGAGAAGAGCAATCAATGAGAAGATTAATCAATAGAATGATTTAATAATTTAAGGAAACACAATCGATAGGTAACCTGTAGATATCACCGTCGTGGAAAATATCGGGATGATGATGAGCCGCGTTGAAGCTGATTATTCCAAACATAGTGCTACTGATCAATAGCATTATCAGCCACATCTTGAGTGCGACAAAAATCTTGGGCGCCAGCAAACTCATCGTCAAGGGTAACAGAAACGGCACAAAGTCACGAAATTCGAAAACTTCATATTCCTGGAATACCGAGTAATATCTAGAAACGATTAAAATCTTTAGCGCAATATCGAGATCAGAATTGGAATTTTGTCAGATGACTTCTTAATGTCACAAAATAATATAAATATATTCAAAGTTTAATTTTTATGATTTGTAAAATTGTATGTATATTTTACAATTAAAAGCAACAATTATATAATAATTATATAATAAAATTCTTAATCAAAATCAGAATATTAAAATTAAAGAAACAAAATTAATGTGGAATTCAAAATTTAAATTTAAAGTAAAGAAATATAGATTAACTTTTTTTTTAATTTCAACGGATGAATGTGAAATGGATTGTTACCGTTTCAAACCTTCCATTATATACATTAACATCCAGGCGATTGGACTGATGATTTTACTTATTATCGTCGCCAAGTAGGATTTATCCCTACGAGGCAACCATTGGAGAAACGGTTCGACTACATAAATCTCATAATCCCATGTAGTATTGCTATACATATGGTGGCTCATTACGTGCGAGATACGCCAATGCTTCGATGATAACATGCTTAGATCGAAGTAGTACATTCGAAAGTTGTCCCTCATGTGGAAGTAATTGTGCGCAGCAACGGTGGTCCATGTTAGAAAAATACCTAGAATTAATTATCAAGTATTTAAATCGATGGAGATTAATATGTTTGTATTTAATAACGATCAGAAAAATTAATGCAATATCATCAAAATTTATATATATGTATTCACACATTTATAAAGTTAAAAATTATTTTACTTTTATTTTTATAAATTTAATATTTTAAATTTAATATTTTAATATTTTAATATTCTTAAAAATTACTTTAATATTCTTACTGTTCATATATTTGTACGCTAAATTTTATTATTGCATTAGTCCTTATGTTAATAAATGTTTTTAGTCATATTTCGATTATTTCGAGAATGCTCACTGGCAAAAATAATAATAGCGTAAGAATTGGCGAAGGCGCCCGCGAGACTCAGAGCAAAAGTCGTGGCTGCCAAGGAGTCGGTGATGACATTTGTCGTCATGGATGGCCGATGAAAATTAACACTCTTTAAAGCCTCGGCTGCACGTCTCTTAAATGTGCGATAAAAGCCGTCCGATGAGAAAGTCAGTGGCACCGATCGTAATGTCGCAGCTTCTCGTACGTAGAATTTCGGCAGCAATTGTTCGGCCTTGTCGGTGATGTGATGGCTCTACGACGTTAGAATTGGAAAATCTCAATTGCAAGTACAAGTCTCAGATTTCTTTTCAAAAATATTATAAATTACAGGAACAAAAGATACATATATATACATAAAAATTATATAATTATAACTTTATTAAAAAATTTTTATTAAAACATTTTATTAAAAAATAATTATGAAAGTAAAATACAAGAATATATTAAATTAAATTTATATTAATATTAAGAAATAATAGATAAAGTCAAATTAAGTTTATTTAATTATATAACTATTAAAATTAAAAAAGAATGCATCTTAAAATTAAATTAAATTTATTTAACATTTTATCACATTAACATATACTACAATATGATGATATTGAATAATTTTCCTTTTGAATCGATACCTCGAACAACTCGGTGATGTCGGTTCCTTTTGTGAGCCGAATCCATTCTGCGCCACCCGGATGCGATTTGACGAAAGTCTCTAGATCGTAGAGTTTGTTTCCGATTCTCCACAATCCTTCCGCACCATCAATTCTTTTTCTAGCTTCCAGAAACTTAATGGCGGTTTTTGGATTTTTCCTCACTGGTAAATAAGCCAATCTGGGCACCGTACTAGTTTTTGACATATTGAAGGTTTTTTAATCTCCTCTACGAATGATACGGAAAAATTTGATACGACGGATCTATTGATTTGTCATTGCAGTCCAAGTTTCATGAAATCAAATTATAAATCCTTTTACATAAATTTTTTTAATTTGTAAAACAAACCACTCTCTCCTACTTACGCATATATTTTATAATAAAAAACTCATATGTGAAGAGCGTTTAAAAATTGGCAGAAATACATAGATGAAACCTAATAACGCACAATAGTGCAACTGTTATTAGATTAAAAATAAAAAAATAGCGTACACAAAAAATGTCAAAGAGACATAAAGCACACACAGTACAAAAAACTAAATATATTTAATCAGAAATAAAAATATAATATTTTGAAGTCTCTCTAGAAGTTTCTAGAAGAATCCGCAATTTGATTGATTCAAAGTGGATATAATTCTATCCATTGTAATATATGAAATATGAAAGTAAAAGTAATCAGTGAAGTATAACTTTTTTACAACATTTGCATCATTGACATAAATTTGCATATAAATTTCATAGAATGTGAACATTGTACACGTACGTAAGAATTATACTGATAAGTGGAGCGTGTTTGTCATCATCTATAAGTAGAATGATAATTTGAATATGTGACATTAATGCCCATGATACATTTCTACGCTTTCAAATCGAATGTTTAAATCATCTATCAAATAACTCGTATATCTTAAGAACGCTTTCTATATCAATAATTAACGATTAAGTTATTACTTTATAGCAATTGTAGTTATTAATTTAAAAGATCATGTAAAAAATTTATTTTAGAAAATCATATAAAATATTTATATAAATTATGTAAAAGTAATATATAATAAAAGTAAAAGTAATATATAATACATAATTTATATAAAAAAGTAATAAAAAAATTACATAAATATAATAATTATTAATAATGATAATTAATTTAATATAACAGTAATCATTATTAATTTAATAATTGTTAATACATTATTTAATAACTATCAACTAGTATCATTGTAAAATATCACAATGCAAAATTATCAAAAACTCCACTGTTATAGTTGTCAGAGATTGTAACCGATAAAACAAATCCTTTTTTTCTCTTTTTCACATTTTTCTGTTTTTCACTTTTATATTTGCCTGCCCCTTTGCGCTATAAAAAAATATTCACCGAGTATTTTACTCACTATGTATTGCATCGACATATCTATTCAATTTTAACGTATTCATGTTTCGTGTGCGATCGTAGGCGAACACGACAAATACATGATCTCTCGATTGACTAAATGATTCTTTTTAATACTTCCTTTTTATTCTTCAATAATCCGGTTACAAGACACGGCCGATGCAAGGTCGATATATATACCGTGAAAGTGATATTGAATAACGAATGAAGAAGTGCGCTTTAACATGTGCATCTCTTTTGGAAAACGACAATTGTCATTGATAATGACGTCGTCTTTGGTATCACGAATACGAGATATTTTGTTCGTGTCTGGAAGTTTATCACGAATTATATAATTCGCATTTAATCAGCTAATCAGTTAATCAGTTAATCTGTTTTTAAAGGTTTTAAGAGCGCTCGCTGCAACGCGATTTTGTAATATTCTTTTTTTGACTTTTTAGATCGTATGTGTGTTAGTACATTTTGAGTTACGACAGTTTGATTTTTTTAAAAATAACAATAGGCGAACACGACAAATACGTGATCTCTCGATTGACTAAATGATTG